ATAAATAAATTATATCATGCCATGGGTAAAGATTTTAAATAAAAAGTTTCTGAGAATCAAAATTCTCTGGCATAAATTTACTGACAAAGGACTACAGTACAATCTTTTTAACAGTCTTAGTGCCCAACTTATTTACTCTAAAGAAAAGGGCATGTAGAGTCAAAATAACTTCAAGCCTTATGTTTTCCATCTGTAAATGTACAGCACTGATTTTGACTTCTTAAAAGTGTAACTCCTAGCAACAAATGTATATGCACTTGAAATTTCTGACTGATTAGAGCGCCCTCATGTGGGCCTTTGTTGTAATATTTTAGATATCTGAAAAAGTATTAATCTCAGCAGAACTACAATTAATTTTGTCTTTATTATCCCATTTATAAGTTTCAAGTATCACTCGGTAAATTCTAAAGAGTATGACAATCCTACTACATCTCACTAACAAACTTTTCATATGCCAAATTTCATTCTAAAGCAATGAAGTTATTATTGTTCTGGTTTAAATTTTAATGAATTAAAGGGCTTTTCCCTTAAAGCAATGAAGACAAGATTTTCATTATATTATTTTATTATCATGCCTCAAAGAAAATGTGTAGCTGATTAAGACATTAACTATATGTGACAGCATGTAAGTACCTTTTTAGGGGCAGAAAACAACTCAAGGGGCCAATTCTCAGTTTTTTTTCAAACAAAAATTTTCTTGTCTATATCACTGCAAAAAATTTCCTCCTATTCAGAAAGACTATGCTGGAAGGAGCCAAAGATAATCTCATTTTTTAACTACATTTTTAATTTTTTAATAAAAAACCTCAAATCCAATCATATTTGAAATTGCATTTATCCAACAAGTATTTATTGAGGGCCCACACTCTGAGTCAAGAATGAGATGTCAAATTGAAGGAAACCAAAGACACTATAGTAAAGCAAGAAAGTACTGTTTTTTTTCCCCTTCTATAAAAGTATTTAGTAATAACTACCTCACCCAAGAGAGTTGCTGTAAAGATCTAATAGTATGGCATACGTAACAACATTTTCAAAAGAGAGAAATGTTGTTAAAATGTATACAAGAGAAACCCTGGTGCTTCCAAGGATATGTTTTAGGGGTTGCTTTGTATATGGAAAATCTTTGAATGCAAGGCTCTGCTCTAGTTTTTTTAACTAAAAATGTTCTTTAAATTGTCATGACAGAAGAGAAAGTAGGAAGAATTACATCTCCTAAGAAAAGAAGTCTGAAGCTATTCTTCCTTGACTCTCACCCTCTTTTTCTTAGCAAAGCAGGACACTGATTGGTTGGTGATGAAACCAGTTCAGCCAAGAGGTTAGACTGGATATATCAGACTAACCAGAATGTAGCAATGAGGCTACCCTGACAGAAGCTAGAGTTTTCACTTTCCAAAAATCCCTGAAACCAAACACAATCCTAGGCCCTGTAGAAAACTGAATATACTGTTTTGGTGTCCTACCACCATATGTCTTCTCTATGCCCCAGTTTAAATTCCCATGCTTTTTTTCATGTAGCCAATTGTTCAACTGTTTCCAACCTTTTAAAGTTTGGTGATGTCCTCCCTTCAATTTTTAAACTTATTATGTAAATTATTTAACATTTCAAAAGTAGGAAAAAATGTATAATGAACCCCTATCTACCCATCCATCCAGCTTTAACTACTATCAACATAATGGGGAACTGCAAGCAGTTTGACTTGGTTAAAACATATCATTAGAGTGGGTAGTGATAAGAGAATCAAACAGGATTTCTGAAATAAAAAATAGAATATTTGAAAGTACAAAATCTGAAAAAAAATAAACAGCTGAATAGCTCAGCTGAATAATTTGTGACCTAAAAGACAGTCCCAAAGAAGTTACCTAGATTTTAACACAGAGACAAAGAAATGGAAAAGATAAAAAAAGATTATCGGTCACAAATGATCATGGGCAAAGTCCAATGTGAACCTGGTGTTCCAAAAGGAGGAAATGGAGAGAATGGAGGAGAAGTCATATTTGAAAAATTATGACTGAGAATTTTCCAGAATTAATGAAACTGAAATTCTTAGTTTGAAGAAATAAAATTAATCTCAATCTAAATAAATAAAAATAAACCCACATCAACACCCATCATAGTGAAACTACAGAAAACCAAAGACAAGAAAAAGACTCTAAAAGAGCTAGAGAGAAATGTAGCATACCTATAAAAAATAAATGAAAATGATAGGACATTTTTATTTTGACATATGGAAACATGCTCAATGTTACTTATCACCAGAGAAACACAAATTAAAACCACAATGAGATACAATCTCATACCTGTCAGAATGGCCATCATCAATAAATCAACAAACAAGTGCAGGTGAGGATATGGAGAAAGGGGGCCCTTTTGCACTGTTGGTGGGAACGCACCCGATGCAGCCACTGTGGAAAGCAGTATGGAGATAGCTCAAAAAACTAAAAATGGATTTGCCTTTTGACCCAGCAATCCCAGTTCTGGGAATATATCTGAAGGAACCTCAAACACTAATTCCAAGGAACATAAGCACCCCTATGTTCACTGCAGCATTATTTCCAATCACTAAGACATGGAAGTACCCCAAGTGTCTATCAGCAGATGAGTGAATAAACACCTATGGGACATTTACACAATGAAATACTACTGGCCATAAAAAAAGAAGAAAATTTTCCCCTTTGTGACAGACAGTATAGATGGTCCCGGAGAACATTACGCTAAGTGAAATAAGCCAGTCAGAAAAGACAAATACCATATGATTTCACTCATGTGTGGAATCTAATGAACAAACTGTACTAACAAGAAAAATAGGGCTAGACTCATAGACAGAGAGCAGGATGACAGCTAGTTGGGCTGGAGGTGAGGGGTAGAGGGATTAAACAAAAAGGAAAAAGGACTCATGGACATGGACAATAGTATGGTGATTGCTGGGGTGAGGGGGTATAAGGGGACTAAAAGGAAACATATTTAAAAACTATAATAAAGATTTAAATTTTTTAAAAAAAGAATATGACAAGACATTTCTCAATGGCAACAGCGGGAGCCAAAAAATAGTGGAATAATATCTTTACAGTCTGAAAGGAAAATAATCGACAACCTAGAATTATGTCCTAGCAAAACTACCTCAAGAAAGATCTTGAACTAATGTGATTCTCCGAGAGGCTATGGGAATCCCAAGACGAACCAGTGGGGCACAGGCTGTGGGGGTCTCCGCACTTAAGGTCTGACAGCTGGGAGGAAACTGGAGAAAAGATGCCCTCTGATTCTTTGTTAGACTGCTGAGGCTTGATCTGATTCTAAATGGTTGAAAACAGATATGCAGCTTGCATTCTCAAGAGGTGGGCTTTGTAGTCTATGGAATGAAATGGTTAAAGATGCAGAAATTGTATGTTATGGGGCAAAACTTACCCAGAATCAAGAGCTTCCTCCTAGAAAAGGTGACGGTGTTGATAAACGAAGTGAAACGAAGATCTGAACGAGAAAAATAAAGGCTGAAAAAGAAACTCCTGCACTGCACATGGAGCCAAATCAATCCCAGAGAGCTGGGTATGGGGGCAAGCAAGCAAGCAAGCAGTCAGGTGCTGCATGACAATATTTTGGTCAATGAAGGAATGCATATACAACAGGGATCCCGTAAGATTATAATGGAGCGGAAAAATTCCTATTGCCTGATGATGTCGTAGTTGTAGTCACACTGTAGTACAGTCCATTCCTCATTTGTTTGTTGTGATGCTAGTGTAAACAAACCTACTGTGCTGCCAGTCACATAAGAGTATAGCGTGTACAATTATGTGTACATACTTGATCACCATAATTGACTACGTTACTGTATAATATCTACCATATAATACATTTTATTGTTTTAGAGTGTGCTCTTTCTACTTACTAAATAAAAAGTTTGCGATAAAAATGTCTATTATATTTTATTATAACAGCTATAATGGGAAATAAACTCACCGCATTGTATTTTAAAAAGAAAATAAGCTAAAAACAACATAGATGTAAGTGGAGCTTAAATAAACCTTTACTCAGTAAGATGAATGTTTTCACAGGGAAGGAAAGAGTTTAGTAGTAAAAATAACATAAAGAGTTACATTATTTTAAAAAGTATTTTGTTTCATTTACTGTGGATGGTCAAACATCATTTTAAAACAGATGGTAAATCTGTTGGACAGTAAAATGTAATAACATCTTGTTTCCATTTTCTTATTCCTTCTAGTTTATCTCTTTATTGTAAATCATTTTCCATTGTGGAAGGATATTAAATTTACATCAAACTGAAAGGAAAAAAAGCATGCGGTTATGCTCATAAATTCATGTTTCTACGCACTGCTACCACTTACAGCCATTTTATGAAAAACATTTCAAATTGATCTATTCTTTCTGGATCCAAACAAATTAAGAGTCACTTTTTTTGATCAAACAGCTCTTTCTGGAAACCTATTTACAACAAGAAATAAAATTGATATAATTATTATATAAATATTTAAAATAAATTCTAATACTCTTTCATGAGAATATATCTAGAATTGGCAAGCATTTGAGAAATGGTAATAAATTTAATTTGTAAACATAAATAACACGTAGCATACTACCATGTTCAGACTATGCTGAGTGCTATACAGGAGGCTGTGTATATGAATCCTTATTTGTGTGTGTGTCGCTCATAATTATGTAAATAAATAAAAATTCCTCAAACAACCCCATTAAGATGAAACGACTGAGACAGAGCTAGGTTAAACAGTTTTTAAAAGCTGAATCCAGGGAGTTGGGCATCAAAGCACATGTTTTAAATAATTACTACATGTATATATTAAGAGCTCTGAGGAGAACACTGAACAAGCCAAAAGATCCTTCCTATCTTGTTCTGAACTGCCCTCTATAAAATACCAAATGCTTCCTTTGGACAGATCTGCTATAAGAAAGGAGTGCACTGCCCTGGGTGGTTGGAGGGTTGTCCCACAACCAAAAGGTTGTGGGTTTGATTACTGGTTAGGGCACATACCTAGGTTGTGGATTCGATGCCTGGTCTGGCTGTGCATGATCCCCAGTCTGGGCATGGATGGGAGGCAACCAATCAATGTTTCTCTCTCATATCAATGTTCCTCTCTCTCTCTCTCTCTAAAAGCAATGAAGAAAATGTCCTTGGGTGAGGCTAAGAAAAAAAAATTTAGGAAGGAGGTAACTAGTTTCTGGATTTTTTTTTTTTTTAATTTCTGTTTTTGAAACCTCTTTCTTCTATGACAAAACTCTCTAGATTTAATGAATCCAAACAAATTTTCAGTCATGAACACATTATTACCAAATGTAAATACATTTTAAAAGATGCAATGGGGATTGGGACTGGAGGTTGAGGCCAGGAAGGTACCAACAACCCAGGAAGCACAAGACCAGTAGCCAGGACCAGCGGCTGCCCTTGGGCACCCTCTCATGTGTGACCACCTCCTCAGTCACCCTTCCCCCTCCTGAACAGGGATCTGAAAATGTGCCAAGAGACTCCTTAGCCTTGGTCAGCTGGGCCTGTATACAGGGTCCATGTACTATTAATAAGGAGGAATATCTTCTATTTTTTTCTTACTCCCTCCACATCCCACTGTAGGAGTAGAAGGAGTTGTTTCAAAACAGAGCCCAGGCACTGCAAATAAGAGGTGTAAAGTTGCCAAAAAGAAAAAAAGGTTCATAAATCCCTATCTTTATTTTGTAAAGGATTAACCACGGAAACACATGATAGGAATACATTTTATATAAATAATGCATCTACTTTGATAACATGGATTTTTAGCAAAAAAGCAAAGGAAACCACACCTTTGAAGATTATGAAGAAATTCAACTTCATACAACTAATTACCTTAGAAGAATTCCCAAAAGACATTTTCATTTGGGGAGAGAGGTAAAAATTGCCTCTCAATACGCTAGCTCTAAAATCAGATTATTTTATGACATTTTCCCTAAAAGTATTCATTTAAAACATGTCCACTTTGTGCCAACTTCAACTGACTGATAGTGAATACCTGGAATTCTTCGTTAAGAAAGACTCTGAAGCTGAGTGTAAGCTGAAAAAGAATGAGTTTGCTATCAATTGTCAGTCTCTGCCTTAGGTACAGGCAGTTAGAAAGGCAGCACAAGTGCTGTACATTTACATTCCCTGAATTATTAGACACAATTTCTGTTTTTAAAAAATCATAGTTTTGACCCAGAGTTTAAAGTAAAACTTAGAATATACATATCCCAACCCAATAAAGACCATTTTTATAAAAATAATATCCTCTCACTAGTCCCCCAGATGAAAAACTAACACTACAAATTACTCTTCAAATGTTTAAAGAATGAACTGAGGGTGAGCCACATCACATAATGGTGAAAGAAAAAAAAATGTATTGAAAGAAAGAAAGCTGGGGCCCAGATTTCAAGAAAACAAGAGCCTTGGCTGGTGTGGCTCAGGAGTGCTGGCCTGTGAACTAAAAGGACATTGGTTCGATTCCCAGTCAGGGCACATGACTGGGTTGCAGGCCAGGTCCCCAGTAGGGGTGTGCAAGAGGCAACCACACACTGATGTTTCTTTCTCTCCCTCTCTTTCTCCCTCCCTTCCCCCTCTCTCTAAAAATAAATAAATAAAATCTTTTTTAAAAATTAAAGAAAGATAATTGGATACAAAGACAATAATTGGAAAGGAAAAAAAAACATTGTATAAGGGAAGGGCAACAGGTACAAAGGAAAAGAGAAAGTAAAGTTTTCTTGTCTAGGGTAAAGAGTATTAAGAAAAAATATCCAAAATTTGAAAATAAGCAAAAGAGATTACTGGGGTCCTTTCAATGGGATGCAGGATGTAATTTAGCAGACCCTCTGGGACTGACCTGATAGGTAGGAGAGTGCATCTTCATTTGACTTTCTTTTTTAGTTTTTTAAATATATTTTATTGATCATGCTATTACAGTTATCCCATTTTCCTCCCTTTATTCTTTCCATCCTGCACACCCCCTCCTACCCGCATTCCCCCTCACCTTTAGTTCATGTCTATGGGGTGTACATATAAGTTCTTTGACTTCTATATTTCCTATAATATTCTTAACCTTCCCCTATTTTCTACCTACCGTTTATGCTATTTATTCTCTGTATTTTTCCCCCCTCTCTCCCCCACTACTCCTCTGCTGATAACCCTCCATGTGATCTCCATTTCTGTAATTCTGTTCCTGTTCTAGCTGTTTGTTTAGTTTGTTTTTGGTTTTATTTTTAGATTCAGTTGTTAAATATCTGTGAGTTTGTTGTCATTTTACTGTTCATATTTTTTATCTTCTCTTTCTTAGATAAGTCCCTTTAACATTTCATATAACAAGGACTTGGTGATGATGAACTCCTTTAAATTGACCTTATTTGGGAAGAATTTTATCTGCCCTTCCATTCTAAATGATAGCTTGCTGGACTGAATAATCTTGGATATAGGTCCTTGCCTTTCATGACTTGGAATACTTCTTTCCAGCCCCTTCTTGCCTGTAAGGTTTCTTTTGAGAAATCAGCTGGTAGTCTTATGGGAACTCCTTTTTTAGGTAACTGTCTCCTTTTCTCTTGCTGCTTTTAAAATTCTCTCCTTATCTTTCATCTTGAGTAATATAATTACCATGTGCTTGGTGTGTTCCTCCTTGGGTCCAACTTCTTTGGGACTCTCTGAGCTTCCTGAATTTCCTGGAAGTCTATTTCCTTTGCCAGACTGGGGAAGTTCTCCTTCATTATTTTTTCAAATAAATTTTCAATTTCTTGCTCTTCCTCTTCTCCTCTTGGCACCCTTATGATTCAGACGTTGGAACGTTTAAAGTTGTACCAGTGGTTCCTAAGTTTCTCCTTATATTTTTGAATTATTGTTTCTTCATTCTGTTCTGATTGAATGTTTATTTCTTCCTTCTGCTCCACACCATTGATCTGAGGCCTGGTTTCCTTTCTGTCACTCTTGGTTCCCCATACATCTTCCTTTATTTCACTTCTCATAGCCTTTACTTTTTCTTCTATTTCGCAACCATACTCAACCATTTCTATGAACATTCTGATTACCAGCGTTTTGAACTGTGCACCTGATAGGTTGGCTATCTCTTTGTCATTTAGTTGCATTTTTTCTGGAGCTTTGATCTGTTCTTTAATTTGGGCCATTTTGGGGGGGGGGTCTTGGCAATACCTGTTACGTAGTAAAGGGTGGAGCCTTAGGTGTTCACCAGGGTGGGGCCATCATGCGGCTACATTATGATGCTGTGTGTGTGGGAGGGGTCCAAGAGGGAACAGTGCCACTTGCTCTGCTCTCTACTGGTTTTCAGTCACTTCCCCTAATCAAACTGGGCCCTTCTGGGGCTGATTCTTGGGTGGGTGGGTTTGTGTACATTCTAGGACCCTGTGAGTCTCTCCAATGAACTCTCCTATGAGGCTGGGAGTTCCTCCTGCTGCCACAGTTTCCACAGGTGTTTTCAGAGGCTTTGAGGCTTTATTTCCCTGTGCTGGAACCCTGGGTTGCAGTCTGTCTTGCCTCTCAGTTGCTCCTCCTGGCTTATCTGCGTGCGAATGTGGAGCCACATAGTCCACCAGCCACTGCCTTGCCCACCTCGGTCCTCCACCCAGCTGCCAATCTCACCCCTCCTACCAGTCTGGTTGAATGTTTCTTCTTTAACTCCTTGGTTGTCCAACTTCCATACAGTTTGATTTTCTGGCAGTCTGGTTGTTTTTTGTTTTTAAATTTGTTGTCCTTCTTTTGGTTATGTGAAGAGACACAGTGTGTCTACCTATACCTCCATCTTGGCTGGAAGTCTGACTTTCTCTTGAATAGACTATTCTACAACTTTCTAGGGGCAGTGATTAACCTGTAGACAACTGATAACAAAGAAATTACACTCCCTGTCATAAAGCAATGGAACTGATTCCTGTCCTTAGCACTACAGATACAAAAGTCTTGGTAGAGATTTAATTGTTTTGCATCTGGTAAAAAAAAGCAACCCCAAATATTATGCCTCTTGCCTTGCAGGAATTTCCACTGACAGTTTTATTTCAGCATTCCTTTGACTATACAAATTTTGTTTCTTGACTTCTTCTGTAAACCAATCTTAGTATCTTACATGTTCTCTTATTATTCAATGAGTTAAATAAAATATCTAAAATATTTATTTTATATTTGAATAAGCATCATGTTTTTAACTTATATCTTTTTTAATGTTTATCTCTCCAACATCTAGTACAATTCTTGATATTTAGTAAGTACTCAGTAAATGATTTTTTAAATTAATTAATTAAAATATCCATTTCCAAAATTTTAGATGCCAGTGGAAAGAAACTTTATCAGATAAACTTGTCACTACCAAATCTTCTCATTAACTCAGTACTTTTTATTTCTTTAAATGTTACTCTCAGTCAAGTTATTTGAATGGAATATAGTTCCAAGTGTCCTAATGAACTTTCAATATATACTAATATACCTTCAATGTGTTATGAATATGTTAAAATGAGAATTTAAACATTACATTACAGTGCATAAGTGTACTAAATTCACAAATGTGCCTTATTACTTTAATTACTTTTAATTATTATTAATGTACTAAAAATTATTAATATACTAAAACATACTGATGACCCACTGTGGCTGTAACTGGATTATGTGAGATTGAATCTCTTTTATGTTTCCTAAATTCTCACACATTTTAAAGTTTAAAAGAAAAATATCCATGTTATAGTTGACAAGATAGAATATATACACATAAATCTCCCTGGAAAATTCACTTCATCCCAGAGCTTGGCCCTCAGCCTTTGTTACAGACCAAATGTTTGTGTCCCCCCACAAAACTCATACTGAAGCCCTAACCCACAATGTGATAGTGTTAGGAGGTAGAGGTAAGTGATTAGGTCATGAGGGCAAGGCCTCCACCAATGAGATTAGAGCCTTTCTAAAAATATTACAAAGAAGCCCTGGCTGGTGTAGCTCAGTGGATTGAGCACAGGCCTGCAAACCAGACAATCGCGGTTCGATTCCCAGTCAGGGCACATGCCAGGGTTGCAGGCAGGTTCCCTGCAGGCCAGTTCCCAGCAGGGGACGCACGAAAGGCAACCATACATTGATGTTTCTCCCCCTCTCTCCTTCCCTTCCCCTCTAAAGATAAATAAAATCTTTAAAAAAAAAATATTACAAAGAGCTCCCTCCATCCTTTCACCATGTGTGAGGACAGAGCAAAAAGACGACATTTGAGTAAAAAACAAAACAAAACCATATTTGTCTATGAACGAGGAAGCAAGGAAGCAGGTACTCACCAGACACCAAATCTGCTGGCGCCTTGATCTTGGACTTTCCAGGTTCCCAAACTGTGAGAAATAAGTTTGTTCTTTATAAGCTATCCATCCAGTCTATAATGTTGAAGCCCAAAAGGACTAAGGCTGCCTTACCGACCCAGAAACCTATATTTTATTGGGAAGACAAACATTAGTCTCCAAGACTTACATTCATGGAGACTTATGAATACAAAACAAGTAAGCCAGTCTCTTAATGCACAGTGAGAAGCAGATCTAATACTGAGAGGGGAAACGTGCTTTTCCAACCACGGGAAATGGTTTGGTAACAGGACTAATTGATTTAAGCACAGTCTCAACGTGGATAATTGAGGTTAAACAGTGGATTCAGTTTACTGATATAGGAGAAAATGAAATGGAAATAATGTCATGGTTCAAGCACCTCCAATCTCACCACCAGCAAACTAACTTGGGTAAAATTGTTGTGAATAGTTTACGCGGAGCAGTGACCAATTAAAAGACAAAGCATCATTCTTTCCACTGGATATTCAACTCATAAAGTGTGTATTTGTATGCAAATGCATCCTCTTCAGTGAGGAAAGACTGAACCCCTTGACAAGTTAACTCAGCGCACATGGAATAGAATATTTCATTTAAAGAACTGTGGCAAGACTATCAAGAGGTATTTACTTGACATGAATGTCTAATAAATTTTAAAAATTACGTTGGGGAGATTCAGCATGGAAAGGCTATTGGTGGTTGCGGAGGGTAGGGGAGATTCAAGGAATACATTCATTATCCTTTAAAATACAGTCTGGGCGAGTAACAAGAGGCAGTTTTTTGTTTCTTTTGCGTAAGCTTTTTCTTAATAAACTTTTTGTTTTAGAACAGATGTTAAAAGAATTATAGTGAAGAGAGTACAGAGTTCCCTATACCCCGCACAAGGTTTTTAAAAATCTCACTTCAACGTCCACTTCTACCTACACTCTCCCCCACGTCTCTTTGCTTCTGTTCCCCTCAGGTTTTGGCAGGGCCGAGTTTGCACGGCACAACTTTCGGATTGCAAGAAAAATCCAGTTCAGTTAAACCTCCGCCACGGCCAGCCACAACTAGGTCAGAAGTCAGACTCACGTAACCCCAACGCGGAAACCCTAACGCTCTAGCCCCGCCCAGAGACACTCGGAAACCCTCGCCGACGTGGCTCCTCTAACTCTAGTCCCCTGAGACGAGGGCGTAGCTGGGTTAGCGGGCAAGGCAGCCTCAAGAAGGGAGGGGCCTGGGGCCCTGAGGGATGAGCCAGGGGCGGGACTAGGACAGTCCCTACTTCAGGCCCCTCCTCCAAAGGCAGCTTTTCGAAGTCAAAACATTTTTAACCTCTAGACGTCCACAAGGAATATGGCGGGTTACCGATATACATGCACTACGTGTCGGTAGTTTTGTTTAATGCAGACGCCTGGTCTGGGGGTGTCCTCTCAGGCGCAGCCCAGTGCCCTCCACCGCCACCACCTAAAAGCTTCCGCGGGGCAACCTGGTCGCGGCATGTACCTTAGAAGGCGCACGGGGGCGGGCACGCGCACGTGAGGACTTCCGGGGAGCGAGCGCGCCGCCACCGCCTCAGAGCCGGGCAGGGTTAGCCGGTGGTGGGGCTTGAAGGTGATGTCCCCGATGGAGGGCCGTGAAGCCACTTCACTCGCTCGTTCTGCAATCGCGGCTGGCGACTCGGTCCCCTCATCGTCATGAGAGGTCAGGCCTGGGGGAAGCGGGCGGAGGCCCCGGCAAATGGGCTCTGGGGGGGAATAACTGAGAGACACTCGCAGCTCGAACGTGGGTGGAAAATTCTGTCCTGGGGATTCCGGAAGGTTGATTGCGTTTTTCTTCCTTTTCTTCTATTTCTTGCTGTTGCATGTTGGAAAGTGGGAGGGTTCTATGTTTGGGTTTTGTTTTTTTTTTTTTCATGGAAAAGACCCTGAAACTGTCGCATCCAACTTGTCTTCAGAGGTTTGAGGGAATAAATAGCACCTTTGGCATCGGTGAAAGCTTTTAGTGAAAGGAACGAAAAGCCAGACTCCATACAGTAACTGAAAAAACATAGGAATGAAACGGAATGACCTGGCATTAAACCTAGTTTCCTCCTACAGAAAAGCCAGGCTGGCATCCTTGGAGGCTGCCGCACTGGTCATTTAGGGCTCCTTTCCTGCCCGTGTCCTCTTTCGTGACCATCCCCCGCCCAACCCCACACACACACCTCGACGATTGGCATTTTTAATGGGCAGACTACTATCCTTATTAAGACCAGGGTTACCTAGCAATTAAATGGTGACTCCCCAAGTCTCCCTAATTTAAAGGTATTTGGGTAATATTTGGGGCGGGAGAGGTAATACTCTTAGTATTTACTAGAAGCCTTTTTATTAGCTTTGGGAAAGATGTTTAGCATAAAACAAATGTGTAGGTCACCTAAGTGAAATGTTTATTAGTTCCCCGTGATGATACTTAGTATTGACTTAGTTTTTTTTCTTCCTAGCCTTTCCAAGCCTTTAAAAAAATGATTCTTATGAAATGTAGTATCCACATTGGAGATTAAACTGCGCCCAGTGGGCACAGTACAAGTACTGAAGTATTAAAATATGAATGAGTACTAGTGCTCAGATATTCACATCTACTGGGCACCCCTACTCTGTTCTGCTGATTCCTTCTCATTAGAGAACTGGACGCATCAGCTCAACTTCTCTTGTAGCAGGTGTTCCCTAAAAAATAGTTTGTGTAAGGCAGCCAAGCCTTCGCAGTAAGGGAGGAGTCTAGTAATAAATGATAGATAACCTGAAAATAATTCATCTGCTGTGGTTATCAGCCTCTCCTTTAGTGAATTGTTCACTTAGAATATTTTCTGCTCTTATTTTTAGAAGACAGTGACCTGAAGCAAAGCAATCTGGATCACAGAAAAAGTATTCAAGGGTCATGCAAGCCAACTGTAGCCAATTGCACAGTCCTCCAGGAGCTGTAGGCAGTGAGGATGCCTCAGTCTCCCAGTGTGTCCACACAAGATTGACAGAAGGTTCTTGTCTTCATTCTGGAGATGTGCATATCCAAATAAATTCCATACCTAAAGAATGTGCTGAAAACCCAAGCTCCAGAAATACAAGGTCAGGTGTCCATAGCTGTACCCATGGATGTGTACATAGTCGCTTACGGAATCACTCCCATAATGAAGCAAGGCAGCCTGATAATACTTCCATGGAATCTGGAGATCATGGTAGTAACTCCTTCTCAGAATTCCAATCTCTCTTCAAGTGGCTGCAAAAAAGTCTTCCATATATTCTGATTCTGGGTGTCAAACTTGTAATGCAGCATATAACAGGTAGGGTATAATAAAAAAATGTTTCATTGATAAATTCACTAAATTTTATTTCTTTTTGGTAATCTACTTTAACCTGTGTATTTTAGTTAGTTATTTTCTGCTAGCTTTTAAAATTGTAAATGCTTCCTTTAAGTTCATGTCATTGTGTTGGCTCATTTATTTTTTTTTCTTGTAATTAACTGGAACTTATTATCTAACAGGAATTTCTCTCGGAATTGGACTGCTTACAACTTTTATGTATGCAAACAAAAGCATTGTAAATCAGGTGTTTCTAAGAGTAAGTATAACAAACAATGAAAACAATTACTAAATGTCTCTCTCTGTAGATTATATACTCATTTTTGAGAGAAATAGGAATTAAAATAGTTTGACAAATTTAAATAGATATATTGTAACATGTATACTAAGTTTTGTTGTCTAAATGACATGGCATACATGATTTGAATTGTTTTCACCTTAATAATCTTTGTAAGTTGTGTTCCTGATAAAGAAAAACTGGACAGAAGGATTAAAAAGTTTAGAATGCTCTATTTGATCTGATATGTCGAGTGTCGTCATGTTTTATGAGATAGATCAACCACAATAAGTAATATAATCATTAAAAACTTAGCTATTGCACTGTCAGATTTAAAGTAAACAAAATGTACATTGAATAAATGGGTAATGAACTATTTACATCTCTCTTAAAGAAAATTAAACCCAAGAAGTTTTTCCCTAATATAAATTATATAAGAATGGTATTCATGTAAATTACTGGGAAAACTAGGATTAGTTTATAAAATTTCACCTTCAAGCAACTTTAAAGGGCACTACCTGTGTAAAGGATCATGAATTTTGACCTGGAAATTTGTAGTCTGAATCTATCAAACCATTAAAAATTTAATTCAGGGTTTAAAACTAGTAAAAGTTTTAATTAAATTAGTAATTAAAACTTAATTTTAGGCCTGGCTGGTGTGGCTCAGTGCATTGAACACCAGCCTGCAGACCGAAAGGTCCACCCATTGATTCCCAGTCAGGGCTAATGCCTGGGTTGCCGGCCAGGTCCCCAGTTGGGGATGTGGGAAAAGCAACCAATCAGTGTATCTCTTGCACATCAGTGTTTCCCTCCCTCCCTTCCCTTCTCTCTAAAAATAAATAAATGAAATCTTTTTTAAAAATTAAAAAACTTAATGTTAAAAAACAAATTACATTATTAAATTATTGTTGATGTTTGAGAATCTAAAAATTATGAACACTGATAACTTAAATGCATCTTTAAACATTTTGTCAGGGAGACAAAAATAGGGAGCTGCAGAGGTAAAGTTTATATTTGGGTGGGTCCTTTATGTCAATCTGTAGAAGATCTGGCTTCTTTGAAACATAGGTAATATTTTTTATATAATGAAATAATTTTTATTTAAAAAATGTGGTTAAATATGGGTTCTGTTTTGTTCACTAAAGTATATAAAAGAGTGTGATGATGTACAATTTAACATATTCTATATATTTAGTAAGTTTAATCTAGTAAAACATTCTAAGTTAATACATTAGTCATTAAAGTAAAAATAGTTTAATGATATTTAAAATTATGGCATAATCCAAAGTAACAAATTATAAAATTATTTATTTTTCAGGAAAGGTGCTCAAAGATTCAGTGTGCTTGGTTACTGGTATTCTTAGCAGGATCTTCTGTTCTTTTATATTACACCTTTCATTCTCAGTCACTTTATCACAGGTAATTAGAGGTCCAAGTACACAATCACATTTTTTATGTAATAATATTCCTTAACATTTTGCATATATTTTACTTGCACATACTTATTGTTAGAGTTCAATTTTTATCTGTCTCCTTCCAAGATTGAAAGCTCTAAGTGACTTACTCAGATTTGTATACCCAGTCCCTTGGCTCCTGACAGGTGCTCAATAAATACTTGATTTTTGAAACTTAAATTTTTATTTCTACAATCAGTAGTTATTAAGTACCATTTACTTAATGCTGGTGGTGGTGTTTTTTGTTATTTTTATTTATTTTTGACAAAAATATATTTAAGTTGTACAACATGATGTTTTGATATATGTATACACTGTGTGATGAGAACACTTGATCTTTGTTTCTAGAAGGAGATGACTTGCTAAAGGACAGTAGTTGTTAAGTTTTCGTGTTAGATGGAAGTGTTTTGAATTTTTGGCTTTAATCAGATAATTAGAAGTCCTGGTTTTCAGTAGTGTTGGAGAGATATGGACAATCTTGGATATGGTTTGTAGGTGGAGCCAGTATCACTCAGACTGGATTGGGAGGGTAGGCAGAGGGGTAAATCAAGGATGACTCCTGGGATTTTAGTCTTAAGCAACTTGACAGATGGTGGTACCATTTACTAGGCTTAGAAAGACTGGGAAAGTAGCTGGTTTTGAGAGAAAGAATCCATCATTTTGTTTTGAACATACTAAATTTGAGATGCCATGTAAAATTCTTAAGAAAGTGATTATAGATATATGTCATGAGCTCAAAGTAGAAGTTAGAGCTATAAATTTTGGTGTGATGAGCCTATGATTGATATTTTTAAAACCAAGACTAACCAAGGAAAGTAGTCAGAGGAGAGGGCCCAGGACTGGACATGCCCACATCTACAACAAAGAGAACTAAGAAGGGACCATCATCAGTCACAAAGGACAAAACGTAGGGAGTGAGTGTTACAAATCTAGGATAAAAATAATTCAGGGAAGGAAATGGAAAAAGAGACATGACCTCTGAATTTAGCAAGATGGAGGGAGTTGGTGATCTTGACAAAAATTCAGTGGAAAGAAGTGCATGGAATCCCGATTCAGGTTGGTTGAGAGAATGGCAGATATCTAATTTCAGTGAATTTCCTTAGGTTACAGACTAGAAAGGTACCAACCATGACAAGTTAGGAAGACTATTTTTTATACTATAGAGGAAAGATTCGAAATTCAGACATTAAAAAAAATCTCTTTAAAATAAGCAAATGATCTTCTGTTTATATGAACTCTAACATTTGCCAAATTCATACTTTTTACTCATCAAAGTAAAATATTCAGTAGCAAATTAAAAACATATATATGAATACTTTACCTTTGTATATTACTCTGTTAAGTTTTGATGTTTTTCTCTGGGTAGCTTAATTTTTTTAAATCCTACTTTGGACCATTCAAGCTTCTGGGAAGTACTTTGGATTGTTGGAATTACAGACTTCATTCTGAAATTCCTCTGCATGGGCTTAAAATGCCTTATTTTATTGGTGCCTTCCTTCATCACACCTTTTAAATCCAAGGTAAGAAACTAACATGTTTTGATAGTATAATATTTAGCAAACCACATTAATGCTACTTAGTCTCAACCTAATTTTATTATCTCAGAATAGCAACTATTTGCTTAAAGACTTGGACCAAAATATTAATCTATTAAAAAAATCAGAATTATGTTTGCTTCAGAATCATCTCAAAATCAATTCCTATATCATATATGGAAAATATAAGATTTATACTTTTATTCTCCTCCAGGGCATCATCAACTGATAACCGACTATATGCTATTAATCACTGTTTTTCCCATCTCAATAAAAACTTTAATAACAATTTTTGTAATCAGCAAAAACACACATAAGTTTCACTTGTAGTATACATAAAACATTTTCATTATGTTATTCTTTGAAAACAAACCAGTGAGTGACCATAATATGTGAGAAGCAGGTTGAGGTTGTTGGTCATAACCATTAGCATTATGAAGACTAATTCATAGTTATTTGTGTGATTGTGTCATATACTCATGATGTTCTCAATACAATATAATTTGTGTAATATATGTAATTAGCATGGGTAACTATTTGTTTTCTTTTTCCTTCCTTTTTAGGGTTACTGGTATATGCTTTTGGAAGAACTGTGTCAGTATTACCGAACTTTTGTTCCCATACCAGTTTGGTTTCGTTACCTTATAAGCTATGGGGAGTTTGGTAATATAACTAGAAGGAGTCTTGGGATATTGCTGGCTTTACTCTACCTCATCCTAAAAGTAGGTAACATTATTAATCTTGTCATTGTATGATTCATATAGTGATTACAGATTTTATCTACTATTGCTTTAAGTGGTTTACAGTTTATCATCTTATCAGTAGTTTGACATAAGTTCTAGATCTAGTTAGAGATGGAGAAATGGAAATATGTATCTTTATCTTAACCCAGTGGCTCTCAGATGTTATTGGGACAGTGGACTTCCACACAGCATGGATTATCTATGCTGTGGAGATTTGGGGAGAATAGAAATATCCATCTCCAACAGCAGCATCTGTCATACACATAATGCTGACACTAATGGAGTCTCCTATCCTATTTCTTCTATGCCTTCTCCCCTCAGCTTAATCGCTTTTATGAAACTATAAAATCTAAATGTTAAAAAACATATGGACCAGGTAAAAGCCTTGTCTTTGACATAGTTAACTTTTTGTCTTGACCAAATTGTACCTTATAGGTATTCAAATGTACTTTTTTGGGGGGTTCGGGGTGTGTTGAGTTGGCTGAAACCTGTAAATTGAGTAAAAATTCCATAATTGGGTTTTAAATATAGATTGAAATTAGTTGTGATATGTGATGGACATTATTATCAGTATTTGATATTGTGGCACCTTAGCTTTAATCTCTGGGTTTAGCAGATAGGGTTTTTTGAATCAATAAATAACCTTACTTCCTCTTTCAGCTTTTAGACTTTTTTGGACATCTAAGAAATTTCAGGCGGGTTTTGCAAATATTTTTTACACGACCGGTAAGTACTTTTCAATCATTTAAGAAAAACGCTTTTAACTTTTCTTCATTATAAATAACTTTTAATTCAGTAATTTTGCAAATGTGGATTTCCTACTTTTAAAATACTTTTCTAATACTTTGGTACTTAGGGCTATGAGAATGATTTAGAAATATCTATGATCAGTTTCTTGACTCGTACATTAACCTGATTAACCTGAAAGCTGGTATAATGCTTATGTATTTGAATGTGCTTCTTGCCTCTTCTAATCACTTGACATTCTTAAGGTCTTTAATAAACATTCTGACATTCTTAAGGTCTTTAATAAACATTCCCTTTAGTATCTTATGAACTGTGTAGCTGTTTCTTTTTTAATCTACACGTACTAGCTTTGTGTATTTCCATTAACTCCTTATTCAACTTCTATGAAAACACCTTCACTGTTATTTATTATGTGTGTGAAAAAAGCTTATTACCAAAAATCATGTCCCTTGCAATTTTCTTACTGGAAAAATCTTCCCACTGATACTCAACTCTGTGTGCATAAATAAGTTCACAGCATGGAATTTAACAATACATTGAGACTTCAATGTTAGCTATAAATGTGATTATTATGTGATTATTACTGATGTTACAAATTGCAGACAAAATGGTGTTGTAGACTCATTTGTTATTTATAGCCTTTGTGGTCAGATCTCAGAGTTTGATCCTCAATTTTGCAGTGCATTAGGTACTTAAACAATTACATGGCCAGGACTCAGGGCATCTGACTAAAAGAATGCCAACATAATAATATATGTTGAAAAAACAAAAAGAGAGGATTTTATCTCCCAATTGGACTACACTAACTGGTCAAGGTACCCTGTCCCTAAGATAATGGTAGTGTAATGAATTTTGCTGCCTACTATTCAGACTTCATCCTTTAGACAGATACAGTATAATAGAGAGTTCAGCTTTGATTAGGTTTATTCATTATGTGGGTCTCAACTATTTTACTTTAATTAATCTAGTAAGGCTTGTGTGACAAACTGTTTGACTCTGTCTCTGTGAAACAGAATATCACAATCAGCTCTCTTTGATTTACTCCTGAGTCTCTTAGGAACATTTACATGGACATATATATATTATGTTCCTTAACTTTGCCAGGGAAATGGCAATCACCATTAAGAAAGGAGTCTGCAAAATGCCAAAGTGCTCATTTGAATACTTGTCAGCCTAAGTATCTGCCGTGTACTCTGCTAAGTGACACTGAAGGGAAATTGGCACCAAGGTCAATAACCTGAAAAAATATTAATCTTTTTATCCGCTGTCTTAGTTTGACTTTGTTAATCCTTGATATTTAGTACAAAAAGTTTAGATCATAGCTTCAGATTGTTGAGTCAAATCATGTTTTGCTGTCACTACCATGACTGACTGAACTTGGATGTTTACTCCCCTTTTAGCCTCCTCTTCCCCAAAATTTCTACAAAAAACTGATCTCTTTTGTAATATTTTGATACATCTAGTTATTAATAAGTAAGTTCTACTGAATTTGGTGAGGAAGTTACTAAGATCTTAAAGAGATCAGAAAAAATTTTAGGACCTTAGAAGAAAAGGAAATTCAAAGAATTGCATTATTGTTCAGGCAGTTAATTTTGACAGTAACTCTACCCAAATTACATTCTGCAACTAGTTTTTTAATAAAATTCTACCATTCTTTCCTAGTACTAAATGCCCTGACTTTGTGTCAAGCAAAACTAAACTTATTTTTAGACTTAATAGTAAGGACACTGTTTAGTCATCCCCAACTCTTCACATTGAACTCATCTGGAGTTTACAAAAATTAAATTCCTGTTGTCACATCCCCATATGTCTTAATCCATTGAGTCAATCTCCAGTAGGGAGCACAGAAATCTGTTTTTTAACTTTCTCCGTTTATTGATTTTAGAGCAAGGAAGGGAGAGAAGCATTGGTTTGTTGTTTCTCCTTATTTATGCACTCATTGGTTTATTGTATGTGCCCTGACTGGGGATCAGACTTGCAGCTTTGGTGTATTGGGACAGTGCTCTAACCAACGAAGCTACCCAGCCAGGGCCAGAAAATCTGTTTTTAAAGCTGTCTCTCCACATGAGTTACAGTCAATCAGCCAAACTCTGGACTGACTTTTTTTGATCTATTACCATAGACAAGTGGGCTCGATTTGACAATATGTGGTCACCTAAGTACATTAATGTAGATTTTATAATATTTGTATTTCAGATTGCTTAGGCTCTTAAGCCAGTTGAATCCATGTTAAATTTGAAGCCCTGTCATTATTCAGGAAATCTAGTGAATCTTAAAACCTTTCAAGATCCTTTTATGTACTTAATGAGTTTACCTTAATGCAGCCCATCAGTGTGTGGTTCTGCATATGTAGTTCAGCTTTGAAATGTGCCGTTTGGGAGAGTTTTCAAGTGCCTAGTTCCAAGTAGATTTGAGAAACACAGCATCACCAACATACTGGAAGAACAGGAAAGAATTTGTAGATGAACAGAACTTCTTATCTTCATAGAGTTACGGAGTGGCTGCCAGCAAGAGACAGTGTTCAGATGTGGATGATATTTGTTCAATATGTCAAGCTGAATTTCAAAAGCCAATTCTTCTCATCTGCCAGGTAATTATATTCCTAAGCAATCTAAATACACCACTTCTGTGACTTGTAAAAGTCCCATTTATGTTAGTTATAAGGGGGAAAAACGACATTTAGCAGAAAGTAGCATTCAGGACACATACTGGTAATTTCTTATTTGTGGTTTAGGGGTTTGGTAGCTTAGTTAAATCTAGTCCTTTATGTTCTGATGACTTACACAGATGGGTTACCAGTATGATTTTAAAAAACATGCTATTTTTAATAACTGGACACTTTTAGAATACCAGCATTTCTTATTGGATCGTGTAAGTCCCTTTCCTATACTTTATGGCAATTACTCTCAGAGACTTTATTAAGCCACTATGTCATTATACTTGGTCTCCAAAGTTATCACCTAGGGATAGCATGTATTTGATTAAAAGTGGTTAAATGGATAGTACCATCAAAAGAACACTAGTGACCCTTACTCTGGAATGTCATACTTACTGTTTTCTAATTTGTAAAGTGAAGGGATTAGTGCTTTCCAAAATCCCTTTTCGCTTTAAGAGTATGACTGTCTAAAATGTGATGAATTTAAAATAAAAATGTCATCAAGCCCTGGCTGGTGTAGCTCAGTGGATTGAGCGCAGGCCTGTGAACCAAGGTATCGCTGTTCGATTCCCAGTCAGGGCACATGCCTGGGTTGCAGGCCAGTTCCTGGCAGGGGATGCATGAGAAGCAACCATACATTGATATTTCTCTCCCTTTCTCCTTCCCTTCCCCTCTAAAGATAAAGAAATAAAATCTTTACAAAAAATGTCATCAAGTTTAAAATGTAGTTCTTAATTCCCTTGCAGCATATATTTTGTGAAGAGTGCATTACCTTATGGTTTAACAGAGAGAAGACATGTCCGCTGTGCAGAACTGTGATTTCAGACCATATAAACAAATGGAAAGACGGAGCTACTTCATCACACCTTCAGATATATTGAGTTGTATAAACTTTTAAGGCCACAAAACACTGAAGTGTTGTAGTCCAGTTCATCAAAAGATTGAAAGAACCCCATGTTTTAAAATATATGTATGTTGAACTGAATGCATATGCAATATTATTCTATCTTAATTGACAGATTGCAGTGTTAAACTGTGTTTTTCTTGTTACCAAAAAAGCAATTGGATAACTAAAGCTACTTCTTAGAGGAACTCAGGTATTCTTTCCTAACATTGTTTTCAAAATAAAGAATATTTTTCTCAGTATTTTAAGAAACACATGATCTGAAAGTAGAATTTTCTTCAGGGTTGACTTTATAATTCCTATTCTAAAAATTCTTAAAATTTTCATAAAAGTATTTTTAAATGAAAGTTCTAAATGCTATATTTTACATGTAACAATCAGATTTTCTAAGTAAAGATTTACTGAGGGTGATATGTTTTAATACTGCATTCTCTGTAGTATGATTAGCAATCAGTGAAAATTGATTATTTATTGTTTGTGGATCTCTTACATACAGTCTTGCCATCAGTTCGTGACCCTGCTTGTTGTATAGTGCCATAGACTATCTTGAAGTAACTATTAAAATTAATTCATGTGGAGCCCTAGTTTGTGTGGCTCAGTTGGTTGGAGTATCGTCCTGTAAACCAAAAGGTCACTGGCTTGATTTCCAGTCAGGGCATGTGTCTGGGTTGCAGGTTGGGTCCCTGGTGGGGGTGTGTACAAGAGGCAATTGATCAGTGTTTCTGTGTCACATCGATTTTTCTTTCACTCTCTCTATCCCTTCCCTCTCTTTATAATCAATAAGCATGTCCTCTGGTGAAGATAAAAAAAATCAATAAAATAATTCATGTGGATTACAAATAGCTGGCTTCCTGGTAATTTGAATAGTTTCACAAACATGACCAACTCAAATCTTGAAAAAGAATTCCTCCTAAAACGTGTTCTCCAAAGAGTTCTGAAATCTAATGCTTGAATCCCCATTACTTGGGAAATAAAAGCTTGCACTCAGAGGCAACCAAATGCTTTGGGTTGTGTGATTTGTTTGACTCTTAAGTATCTGCACAGTGTGGTAGAAAAAGGACTTAGGCATTCTACTCTTGAAACCTCTAAGAGGGACCAATATCTGTAACAGAAGTCAGAAGTAGTGGTTATATCTAAGTTTAAAGTACAAAGCCTCTGCCCATTTTCTTGATCACCATGTATCAGTTTGAATTACAAGTAAGATAGAGTGGGAAGAAGTTAGGTAGAGGTAGAAAACCAATTTGCAGTGTTGGTAATGATAAAGGCTGAACCAGCATATAGATTAATAAGGATCGTGACCAACCAGCCATAGGTTAAGTCACTTTCATGGTTGTATGGCTACCCTAATTTGCAAAAGAACTTTAGAAAGCTTGTAAGTTTTTACCTCAGGTATATATTGCCAGGTTATAAGTATACCTGTTTCTATACATTCAGCATTGATATATTTAACTATTATCTCCTTTGAGAACATTGCAAATATTGAAACCAGCTTACTATCACCTTCCTAAAAGTTATTTAGGCATAAGGCAAGGGATGGGTGAGAAAGACAATTTAGAATTAGAATTTGGGAGTGAAGATAAGTAAGATGACTTGTTAAAAACAGAGGAATAGCACTTTACTGCATGGGTTACTTCTACTACTACTTATCCTATAGCTATATTCATAGCTTTGTTTCCTAATATAATTTAGTAAAGGAAATGCCCAGTGGACAGTGTTTTTTTTTTAATAAGAAAGCATTTCACACATGAACTTAAAAGGAGGAAAACTGTAATAGGAGAGCTATGCCATCCATTAACAACACTGAAACAACAGAAGCATTTCTCTACTTCTATTCCTTCACCTCCAAAAACGGGAACAGGAATTCAAACAGCCATGTATTCTGTGAATTCACATCACACCTTTTTAAAAACTGTTTCATCACTGTTAAGAGTTGCTATTATATGTTTTATAAAAAGTCAGTTTGAGAACTTCTATAGAGAAATCATTTTGACAAGCGTGATATAATTGCCTCATAAAGAAAAAGTGATTTATACAAAACTTTACCCATCTTACCCTACATATATTGAGACATTAGTTAAAAACAGATTTGTGCACATTATTTTGTGTATACACATCAAATAAGTATAGTTGACAAGTGTGGCTGAACAAACTGTTGACTATTAGCATAAGAAAGTCTCAGGCTAGCTTTCACACAACTTCTCACATGAGCTTTTTTAAAAAATAAGCAACTAATTCAACTTGGAGATCACAGATGTGTAATATTTAATATATAAAACCAGTACTAAAACTTGTTATCTATTTAAGTAGCTGCAATTTCTCAGCAGAAACAGTTTCACAACTGCCACTCCTCACCTGTATAGTAGAGTTGATCCTTGAACAATGTGCAGATTAGGAACTCCATCATCGCCCCCCACCCCCACCCCCATCAAAACCCACATATAACTTGATTCTACAATGGGCCCTTCACATCCACTGACATGGAGGGCCAAACGTATTTATTGAAAAAATTTCTGTGTGTAAGTGGATATGTGCAGTTCAAACCCATGTTGTTCAAGGGTCAACAGTAGTTTATTAAATGTGAGAATCTGAACATATCTGGCATGTTAATGAAAAAAATTATTAAAACTATTTGTGTACCTGTTATTTCTTCCTATCTTAGGATAATAATAAAAAATCACTTCTATATTATGTTCATTCAAATTTGCATTTAATTTCTATTTACATTCATTCAATCTGAAATCAAATAATACAGTAAACTAAATACAAGATGAAAAGCAGAAAAGGTGTTACCCTCATAGCACTCCTAATAAGGCAGCTGAAGAATTTACTCTGATAGATGCAAAGCCAACTTGGGATAAGAAAAAATAATAGTTTAAAGAGCAAACACAGATGAACCCATCTTTCAGGTGTTATTTCATAATCCACTGAGATAATACTTGTGCTGTAGTGGTAATTTAAGAATCACACAAGAAAAGTTCTATATCAATCAGCAACAGACCACAGGTCATAGTGTGACAAGTACTTTTATGACTGTCCAGCTTGCTAGTGTCTACTCCTATGAAAAAAAGATGTTCGGACATTGATGTTATTATTTGAGAAATTAACCATTTTCAAAGTCTCAAAATCCATTCTTCATAAATTCAACATTTCTCATGGGAATAATCTTAGATCTAGCCCTTGTAAGCTAGGAACCATATGACTGAGTTACCAAAAGAGTTAGGTCCTATATTAAATATAAAATCCAAGGCTCAGTGTATTAATACTACTGAAGATGCATCTTGTTTATAATCATTTATTACTTAAAGAATGTTGAATTTATGGAGCATCATACATGCATTCTCCCTCACCCCACCCTCATCATCTTCTATCTCAAGAAAATAGTATGGAAAAATCCTTCTTGAAGGATTCAAATTAGTTAAGACCATAAAGGGGAAAGAATATAATTTTCTAAAAAATCTGGTTCAAGTTCAATAATTAATACTTTACATTGTTAATCACAGCTGGTTTATAAATCCCAGTTTATTCTGTAATGCTACAAACCTTATAAAATCAAAATTAGTAAACTTCAGTTCTCAATGATTATATTTTAATTAAAAAACAGCATGTATATAAAATTAAAAAATATCCTGTAATAGCTGATTTTAAAGAAAATAATCAAGTGATGAAAGAAAAGCACTTAATCTCTTTTATACACTTACCTGGAAGAATCATAAAGAACCCTCTTAGAAACTCAAGACTAGTAATATTGACATCATATATTTTAAACTATGCTTGGATTTTTACAAATAAATATAGGGCAAGCCATTTTGCATAGGTGTGTGCTTTCTGTCTGTGACACTAAAGTGGCACTTGACATGTTTTCACAGTCACAGCAGGGATATCCATTTATGAAACACAATTTCTCAAACCTGCCACAGCACAGGAAATTAACTTCCCTTAATGTTAACTTGGAAAATTGTATTTGTGTGGATGGTAGATGTGCAATTAATGCTTTTATGCAGAGAAGTTGCAGTATTTGCCACTATTGCTAGCAGTACTAATTATGAAAATGGTTTAACTATAGGGTGTTTATAGCCAGCCAATCACAGTGCAAATGTTAGTAGCAAATAAGACTGAGAAGGAATATTTTGGTGTAAAAATTTTGCTGGAATTTGGTCAGGCAGTCAACACCACAATTAGTAAATACATTTGAAAATAAGTATCAGCGTATCACAAGCCATTTACAGTCTGAAATAGAGCCTATAAAAAAATCTGCACTTTAAATATAATTTCTGCCCTTATCATTATGGTAGCTACTAATTTATTAGCTACAGTTATAAAGTTCTCAGTAGGCTGCTACAATAATGGGAAAATGGGGGATTAGGAGTGATTTTTAAAAAAGCGCTTTCTGTCCAAAGATGAACTTATTAATTCATTTATTGCCACAATTGAAAAGATACTTCCAATCATTTTTCATGAATCTGTTTTTGCTTAATGTCGTAGGATTTCAACTCATCTCACTTGAACTGCCATTAAAATAAGCAAAGCTTTGCTCTTTTCTGACTGATTTCAACATGCATAAAGAATTTTATGGCTTGGATCCTATGGCTCAAAAAGGTTTGAAGAACACAGCAAGCAGCATCTATTTAAAAAAAATCATAGGGTTGCAAAATATTACAAATTGACTTTGCACACTCAGACTAAAGACATTATAAACGACAGAAAGAGGCGATAAGACTTAACTGCAACTGTATGATCATCTATTATACCAGTATGCACTGAAATATATTTCTATAAAGCTCTGCAGATATTAAACCCTTTCACCAGCTAAAGTCATGGAAATGCTCTCTTTAAGGCAGGAAGTATTTAAGAAAGGTAAAGTTACCTTTATTTTTATTCTGTGTACCGGTAAATCACTGACGAAGATTTTGTTACAATTTCAAAAACATAATGTCTGTTAACATGTTTCCTTAATTAAGTCACTAAGTTTTCTTATTCACCTTGGAAGACATTCATCAAAAGGCCATCAAATATTTTTACAATCAAAAAATGTAGCCCCAGTATAGAAGAAAAGAACCTTTTTCCCTTTTAAAACTGTTGAGGAAAAAATGTAAGGAAGGTAGACAGTAAAAAGTAAAACTTAAAACCTTACCAATCTGCTGTAAAGAGATTAGACATAGAGAGTGGGCTATGGCAACACCCTCTTCCCCTGGATCTCCCTATTTCCCTCACTTTGCCGCCCTCAGTGTGCATTTTATCCTGACTCTCTTCCGTCCTTCTTCAGCCGCAGGCTGAACACATTTGGCGTCTTGAACCAAATACTGGTATAGAAACAGGTGGCGATATTTTTCCAGTGCAATGCAGGCCCAGGACAAGGATGAAATATAGGACATATAACTTATGCCCATCCCAAGGCTTCCAGTTAAGCTTAGCACATAGCAGTACTGCAAATAGAAATGATTAAATAGATTTTTTTTCCTAGTATTACAGACAGGTATTGCAGCTGGGTTACTGAAAATAAACCCCAGGTCCACCCCAATCCCTCAAACGAGCCACAGCTGTGGTTAACAATGATTCATTTGCATTTTTATTATTTCATCAAGAGAAGAAACAGAAGTTGTCTGGCTTTCTTCACACCAACCAATAATTTCGCATTTTAAAGTTTGGGCTGTTTTCCATGATGAGCTGAATCAAAAATCTATTTGAAAAATATATATTTATATAAAAAAAAGATTCAGGTTGTTTGCACGTAAAACATCAATTGATAAATTTCTTTTGTCTTTGATTCCATGTTGCTGGAAAGTTTGACCAAGCTTGCATGCTAATTTGTCCTTGGTTGCAAGTATTACAGGCAATTTCATACTTTGCCTAATAAAAGGATAACCCTTCTTCGACATAATCAGAACTCAACAGTGATTCAAAAGCAACATTCTACCCTTAATACTGTCAGTTTCACGCCATCAACATGAATATCCTTGATAAGGTTGAGAAGATGTCGCTAGGAATCAATTGATGTGCCTAAGAGTTCTGCAATACTATTTTGCTTTTTTTTTTTGCACCATTGATTGATTTTTAAAAATCCAGGTTTATTTTCCCTCCGTCCAAAGTGTTCTATGTAATGACACTGAGTCTTCGAGACTGTCATGTCCAGCCTTCGTGTTTCACCCTGCAGGATACTCATAAATCCTCTCCCCACCTTTTTTGCCTTAAATTCATTAAAAGCATTGCTCTGTCATAGATTCATACGCAGGTGCTCTGGTCGTTTGGAGATCATGGGAAAAGCTTGTTTTTTGTATGGCCCGGAGTTCGGCTGTCGTATTGGCAGTGGGGCTGAAGCTTCCCCACTCATCGTCACATCCATCTGCTCTATTCCACTTGTTTCCATTGGGTATTCCACAGGCGTCTGAGGATTTGCTGTGCTGGCTGAAGCACCTCTTCCCCAGAAATCCCCAGGAGAAAATTTGACTGGGCTTTAAGACAATGAAGAGCTATCATTCGTCTGAAGGATTATCTCAACAAAAAAAATATTCCTTTACGCTTAGAGGGAATGGGGTAATGTGACATTTATTTTCCTTTAATTTTATTTTTGTGTGGATTAGTACAAAGGCAAAAGTTGAGCCATCTCTCCCCTAGACTGCTAGGTCCCAAATGGTCTCTATCTTTATACTTGCCCCAGTAAAACCTTAAATGATACTTAATTTTTTAAAAAATTCACTCCCCTACTTAAAACAGCTCCCCATTGCATTTAAAATAAAATACTTCTCCAAAGCTTTGCCATTCTATTCCTCACTCACCACACTTCAAGAACACTAACCTCCCTTTTACTTCCAAAAAAAAAGGCCAAATTTTTTCCTCCTTTAAGACTTCTGCACAAGCTATTCTTCTACCTGTAACCTCCTTGTACTTCTACTTTTTGTATGGCTAGCTTTTTTTCTCCATTCTTAGATGTTGTTTCACCAGGGAGGCCTTCCTCTGACCCCCACGAACAGGAGCCCCTTGTTAATAAATATTCTTTGCTCTCTACCACCATACTCTTTATTTTTTCATACAGTACATGGCACTATTTGCAATTACATATTTTTTGTATTTCCTTTTTTGTTTATTGTGATTCTCTCTAAATCATAAGCTTCATCAAGACTAGGGCAATGCCTGGGCTAATCATGCGCCCCAGCATGCAGCACAGTCCCTGGTACACAGTGAGTGTTGGCTGACAGGGGACAGAGGACAGCTGTCACTATAGCAGCTTACTTTTAGGAGGGAAGGTAAAACTATATAGCATATTATCAAAGATTAGTACAGACTAGTCACTTACAATATGAGAAGGTACAGATGCTGTGCTTATGTCAACCCAGGAGAATATGATGCCAGATCTTTCATTTATGTAACTTGGCATAAATTTCTTAAGACATGGTCCTCTAGGTTTTTTTTTTAAGGTGAAAATAAAGTCTGAATACCTGACAGGTGTTCGTGGGCTGCCAATAAATCTTCGAGGTGATCGGATTTTTGGTTCAAAGGAAAACTTTTCTTTCACGCTTTCAAGTACAGATGGAGCCACATATGTAAAACCCTGAAAGATAGTAACAGTGGACTACAGAAGGTCATTTGTCATACACATCAAGCAAATGTGTTAGTTCAGTCTAACACAATTGTGCACACCCAAAACCACTAATCCGTATACTCTCTCATCTCCTCAATCTCATTTCAACCTTTTAACTTCTTCCCAGCCATCTTCTTTCTTGAGGCACAGACCTCAAGAAAGCAGAATTCTATTGAGCCCCATATGCCAGCAAACAAAATTCCACTCGACTAAATGGAGTAGAACAAAACAGGTAAATGTAGGCTCCATGTTCAGGTATTAAATAATAAGATAAATACAAAGAAAATTCTAGTGTTTCTAGCCACACCACATCCCTATATGCACCTAAGATTATCAACCCAAAACAGTTTCTCATTATTAGGCCAAAGTAAAAATAGAATTCTCTAACTTGGCACATGTGATTTTTCTGGTTTTACCCCAGTGACTGGATAGACTTAGATTTGGTAGTCTTGATGAATTAAAAGACTGTTTTCACAGTCAGCCATTGTGAAAATCCTCATCTGTACCAGGAAATATGCAGTTTTATTAGCTTTAGTTCTTTTTTGGACCTTGCTATTAGGTTACAAGCTGTCATTTCTCTTGCTGTCAATGTTCATTTCTTTAACTATCAGTCCTCCACCTACCTTCCCTTCTATGTATTAGTCTAGTCATCTTTGAGTAGGCATGATGAGTTACAATAAAATGACTAAATAACATTCTAGATGAAGTTCTACAGCACAGGTGGCAAACACAATGCCTGCGGCCAAATCTGGCCCTCCACCTTGTTTCTACGTGGCAGCAGCACCAAGCTCCTTGATGCTAGTTAAGAAGTAGTTACATTTATAGTTACATTAGTCCGAAAATTACACTTGGCCCTTTGAAGGCAACCTCAAGGCTGATGTAGTGAAAATGAATTTGGCCCAGTGAAAATGAATTTGACACCCTGTAAAGCATGAGGTGGAATTCTGCAGAGCACACGCTTTGTGACGGCCACATGTGGACTTCAGAGGCCATTTCCCACATGTTCTCATGGGCTAAAGCTGTAAACTAGCAAGAGGAATAGGCTGTGCTTTAATCATCTTTGAATTTCCTTTAAAACTATGATAGGAACTTAAATATTTATTGAACTGAAGTTTCCACAACTCCAATCTTTAGGTAAATGGGTGTAACTATTTTTATCACTTTTTTTAAGAGAGCTGCTTTATGTACAGAATTCTGGCCATAACCTAACAAGTTACTTGTTCTTTAATTAGCCAATTTAATTAATTATGAAAAGCTCAAAAATACTTTAATTGACAATGAAAGTTTAGCTATGTAACTTTTGCTACCACAACTTTGGATTTGTTTTTAGCTAAGTAAAACATTTCTAAACTCTTTTTAGACAGGGAAAAGCATCAAATTAGTTGGAACTCTGCAACGCCCAACTGAGGACCAGGTCACTATGATAGATCAAAGGTATAAATTCCATATCATAATAGAAAATAAAGCAAAGCCACAATTAAAATGAATCATGCCTACTTCCCTAACTAAACAGAAGAGATTTTACTAAGGGGAATACAAGGACTCTGTATCATGAAGACATAAATTTAACAACATGCATTCGTCTTTCCTCTTATGTCATTAAAAATACCATAAACTTGTATTTTACATATATCCTCTCTTCTTAACACCACTACATAATGATATGTTCACAGAATTATTTCTATTCAATGTTGTTTACTCAAAACCATACTGCAGGGGTGTCAAACTCATCTTCACTGGGGTCCACATCAGCCTCCTGGTTGCCTTCAAAGGGCTGAAATAATTTGAGGACTGTATAAATGTAACTACTCCTTAACTGCTAAGGAGCTGAAATTACATTCGGCCCTTTGAAGGCACCCACAAGGCTGATGTGGCCCCCAGTGAAAATGAATTTGACACCCCTGCCATATTCTATTATGGTGATTTAAGAATAATTTTAACCATACACAATTTTGTATTCCATGCTAACTTTAGAATTTACTCTCCACCCAAATGTATATTACTTGGTGTTATACTGTGAGCAATATAAAAAAAAAGTTGAGAATTAAGTTAGTGACAAATCCAGTAAACTTGGAGACAAATGGGGAAAAAAACCAGCTTCCAAAGGATTCCTTTCCCCATATTCCATCCTCTGTAAAGGTAGTCCACAAAGAAATGACAAAGGATAACGACAAATGACAAAGGAAACAAACATTACAAAATGAGGTACATGTTTATATGATACATACATATAATAATAAACAAGTATATGTGACACTTAAGCAAAAGCAATGATGGTTATCAGATATAAATCTATCATTTTTGTTGACCACAATCTAAAATTTTTGGTTTCTATTTGAAGAGACAAGGTATAAAGTCAATACAGATACTTATCAATGAAGATTAATTTATTAACTATCACAAATGAACATATTTTGATGTTAAGTAGTCACAACAGGTTAAGCCCCCGTAAAGACTTATGTTAAGAGTACCAAAAATCTGTTTCAGGAAATAGTTACAGTGACCTCTTTTCTTATTGCCATGGCTGTGTGGCTTTTGGTTGAGATGCTGAACCAAACATCATCTTAAGTCAGTGAGTGGCCCATCCAAAAAAGGAATCACACACTCTGAGGAACCATACACTCCTACTGTAATTGCTAAAAGAGAATGTTGGATTATGAGGATCAATTTTCTAACATCAATAAATTAGTATGGTGGCAACTTAAAAAAAATAGCACCTCAGGTTATCTACATGAAACTGCAAAGAAAATTGAATTCTCTTATTAAAAATAGCTTTTCTGATTGAAAAGGGTCCATTCTCATGCTTCAATTTCCCATGGCTACATAGAAATTCTATCACTTACCAGAAAGACCTGGTTGGCACTTTCACTGAGAGTTGAGTCATCTGGGCTGTCAACAGGTGTCTGACGTGTAAACTTTGAATCAAACTGACTCACATCCTCTTCAGATTGCTTTATAAAAAAATTATTAGAAAATGATGACTAGTCTATATTACACATATCAAATGCACTACATGCATTAGAGAAGACTGTAGCTAGAGCTCTTTCACAGGGTTTGACTGTACTAATAGAATAGTCTTAGCAGGCACAGACTAAAGAATAAATGTAGGTGGAAACTATCAAAGGGTAAATTACATCCTCAAATTTAAAAAATATATATTAAATAGATTTTAGTACAGTTATCATTGCTATTAAAAATATGAATATTAGCCCTGTCTGATGTAGCTCAGTGGACTGAGTGAGGGCTGTGAACCAAAGGGTCACCGGTTTGATTCCCAATCAGGGCACATGCCTGGGTTGCGGGCCAGACCCCCCAGTAGGGGGTGCATGAGAGGCAACCGCACATTAATGTTTCTCTCCCTCTCTTTCTCCTTCCCTTCCCCCCTCTCCAAAAATAAATTTTAAAATCTTTTTTTTAATACTAGGCAAAGAACTTTATTAACTTTGGTTTCAAACTTTATTCCCAGGCTTCTTCAGCTTAATTAGCTGCAAAAAATTATTTGTACAGAAGCAAAAACTGAAAAGAGCTGCAGTGTCCAAGGGGCTAGGGCTTAAAAATACTAGAGATCTAGATTTTATTAGATCCATAAACAAAACTTGAAAAAGCAGTCATAATATAAAATAGCAGCTCCCAGTAACTTCTTCAAGTTCATCTTCTTCAGAAGTTGACTCAATTCAGTTTGCTTCATTCTTGGAAGCCTCATCAAAATTCTCCACAAGATCTGGAACTTCATCGTCATCATCCTCTCCTGTAGCAAGTGGTGCTTTTCCATCCACAGATTATTTGGGCAGAGCTTCAGCGAGTCTCCTTAAACTAGTCAGACTGTCTGCACCAAGCTGATTTCAGATGCTGGGTAGCATTTCTGTCAGCTGCTTTGTCTCAGCGTGGCCTGTGATGGTGAAAGTGTTCGCAGCCAGAGATGCCCGAACTTCAGAGTTGTTAAAGTGGATCACTGTTCCTTGGTTTGTGAACATGTTTACCTCTTCAATACCAGAGATATTGTTTACCCCTAACTTCCTTAAGGAGAACTGAAGTTTTTTATCATCTGCTGTGGTTGTTCTGTGAACCACCTTCTTTCTACGAGCAGTGCCTTTCCCACCAATGTGCACTTGTGCCTGCAGTTTGGCGAGTTTCTCTTGGTTCATGATAGCTTCTTTCATCTTTTTTTTGACAGTTTTTTAAAGATTTTATTTATTTATCTTTAGAGAGGAAGGGAAGGAGAGAAACATCAAGGAGAGGACGTATGGTTGCCTCTTGTGCATCCCCTGCTGGGAATTGGCCTGCAACCCAGGCATGTGCCCTGACTGGGAATCAGACCTCAATCTTGTGGTTCACAGGCCTGCCCTCAATCCACTGAGCTACACCAGCCAGGGCTCTTCTTTCCTCTTGTTGGAGAGAAAACAGGGCCGCACGGGGACTCGGGCTGGCGCTCAGGGGGTCTTCGGGAGACCAGCTGAGAATAAGCGTGCACGTGCGGGGATACAAGACAGCAGCTAGGGCTAAAAATCTTTTTAAAAAATATGAATATTAATCTTGCCCAGTTACAAAGCTTCAGTTTTCCTAATCCACTGGCTAAATCCCTCTATAGAGACAATTTCCTTCACTAGTTGCTGCAGATTTATAATAAACCTAAAAACTATTGAAGCAGAGTTTAAAAACAAATCACATTTGAAAGATACTCTAGTTAAAGTTTCTTTCCCTAGCTTATTTCATCCCTTTAGATTTCTTGAGGAGCAAAAATGATATGCTACTTTGCACGAGTATATTTTATTGTGAAAGAATATTTCCACCCCAATCAAACCACCAGACCTGTTTCTCTAATCCTCTCTGGTACATCAGAATACGTGGGGTGTCGAAAGAACTCAAGAACCAACATGATCAAGCACACAGTGTCCAAAGATGGACAAAGCTAAATGCCAATTTTAAAAAACTGCAATGGATTGAAACTCAAATACATTAAAAGGCATGAGTTCATAATTAAACAAAAAACTACATGAGCCCTAGCTAGTGTGGCTCAGAGGACTGAGCACCAGCCTGCGAACCAAAGGGTTGCTGGTTTGATTGCCAGTCAGGGCACATGCCTGAGTTGCAGGCCAGGTCCCTGGTTGGGGACATGCGAGAGGCAACCAGTCAATATATCTCTCCCTCTCTTTCTCCCACCCTTCCCATCTCTCTAAAACTAAGTAAATAAAATCTTTTTCAACAAACTTTAAGAAAATTACATGATTCATGTAATTAAATGTTTGGTCACTTTTGGAAGATGTTAGGAAACTAATTCATTATTTTGAAAACTGGAGAAAAAAACATATCTTGACCTTCCCTAATGAACTGTACTTCAGGTAACCAAACTACTGATATAAAGAGTATCTTTTTTCAAAAAAGTGTCATTTTGTGGAAGAATTTCAGTTAATAAATAAAGAATGAGTAATAGTATTAAAGTAAGACAATTTTGCAAACCCCTAATTAAATCCTGGAACTAGGCCAGAGTTTCTTAACCTCAGCACTATTGACATATTGGGCCTGATAATTCTTGTTATAGGGGCTGTTCTGTGCATTATAGGATATTTAGTAGCATCTCTGGCTTCTGCCCCTAGAGATCGGTAGCACCCCCTTCCCAAGTTGTGATAACTTATTCCAGATATTGCCATACTGACCCCAGCTCAGAACCACTGAAGTACAGAATGACCAATGACCACTAACACTGTTAAAAATACAAATACATACTATGTCTCCTGATCAAAATATACAACATCAAAAGTTTAATCTCAATCGGATCAAGCATCTAAACCTAACCACCAGTTTTTAGAAATGTAGGGAACAGATGAACATGGTCAATGACACCATGGTGTTAAAATCAGCAAAATCAAAATGTGAGGAGCCCTACAGGACAAATGGCTTGGGTTTGTTGTTGTTTTTTTTCAATAAGTCCTCAGGAGAGGAATTAAAAGGGGACATCTATAGACAGAAAAAGACCTAAGAGCTACAGTAACAAAACTGTACAGGCCTTGACTGAATCTTGTTGAAACAAACCAACAGGAATAAAAAAAGAACAACTAAGGAAACTGTCAGCTTTTTAATGGGAATGATAGCATGATGGTTACGTTTATATTTAAACAAGATGATCTGACAATTTTTGAAGTTGGGCAATTGCTACATGAGGGTTAATTATCCTCCTTACAATTATATATAGGTTCAAATTTTAAAGCATGTCACTTTGCACTTCAAGGACCAAAATCATCATCATCATTGTCCTTCGCTTCTATCTTCATCCCAAGAAACAGAGACTTTTCTCAAATTGTGAGGTGGCACAGAGACAAGAACTAAGACACAAACTCATTTACTCATAAACCTGTTGTTATGGTGTGAGCTGCGTCCCCCCAACATCTGTATGCTGGAGTTCTAATGCCCAGTAACTCAGAACGGGACCTCATTTGAAATAAGAGTCACCGCAAATGTAATTATTTAAGAAGAAGACACACTAGAGTAAGGAGGATCCTAATTTGATACAACTGGTATCCTTATAAAAAGGGGAAATTTGGACACAGACCTGCACACAAGGAAAATGCCATGTGAACATGAAGACAGAATGGGTGGTGAACCTACACACCAAGGAAAACCAAAGACTCCCAGCTAACTACTAGAAGTTAGGAGCAAGGCGTGGAACAGAACTCGGCCTTCAGAAGGAACCAACTCTGCCAATACCTCAATCCCAGATCTCTAGCCTCCAGAACAGTGGCACAACCGATTTCTGTGGTTTAAGCCAGGGAGCTTGTGGTACTCTGTTGCTACAATCCTGAAAAAAACGTATATTCTATACTTTGAAGAAAAAATTCCCAGAAAAATAAAACTTACGATAGGGTCAAATTAAGCAAAATAAAGCACAAAAAACAAAAAAAACAAATAAAAGCCCCTAGTACTTAAAATATTTAATTGTCTTAGGCAATCAACTTAAAAATAGTAACAGTCATCAACTGCTAATGGCAGGAGTTCTTTTTTAATTGATTGACTGATTTTGGAGATAAAACAGAAGGGGGAAAGTAAGGAAAAAACATCGATTTGTTGTTCCACTTATTTATGCATGCACTGGTTGATTCTTTTATGAGGGGGGACCCGCCAGAAGCCCCAGAATTTATTTATAAAAAGTTGTGTATTTATTCTTACACGTTTAAACTTCAGTCACCTTCAAAGTACCCTACATGTGATGTAATACACCTAACGAGATGTTTTTTCCACTGCTAAAAACAGTTTTTGAACTTGTCGATTTTGATGACTTTTAGTGCTTTTGCTGGTTTTTGTTTTACCTCTTTCACATTGGCAAAATGTTTTCCTTTAAGGACATTTTTCACCCAGGGAAACGAAAAAAAAAAAAAAAGTCACTTGGGGCAAGATTGAGTGAATAGGGAGGATGGGACACAGGGGTTATGCTGTTTTTTTGGCCAAAAAAAAAAAACCGCTAAACACTCAGCACAGCGTGGGCACGTGCGCTTGTAAATCACCCATCATGAAATGGGCAAACGCACTGAAAGAGTCTTCAAAAAAATTCACTTAGGCTGAACACAGACTCTCACAACATCAGCTGATACACTGACACAGATGAGTTCCTAGAACACTCATCTAGCAGGGGAAGCCTGTACTACAAGAGGCCTGCCCTTCAGAAGGTAATTATGTTTTGGGGGGGCCCCCCCACCATATGTGCCCTGACTGGGGATCAAACCTGCAACCCTGGAATATCAAGATGATGCTCTAAGCAACTGAGCTACCCAGCCAGGGGAGTTCTTGAAAAAGACAACAGAACAAAGATTTTGAGGGGAAGAGACAATAGACCAAAGTTTATCAAACTATTAACAAATGCTTCTGACTGCTCTGAAATTTTCTTACTTTAAAAAAGTACCAGGTCCCTCAAATCATATGTTTTCCTGTATACATACCAACAGAGGTTTAAACGGGGGCTCCACCTTCCGAGCCAGCAATTCTTCCCAGTTAATATGTCTGAAGAACGGATGAGCCTAGGGAAAAAAAGAGCAGGAAGAACAGTCAAGGGGAATAGACTTCACAGGACTGACAACTGCCTGCCTTAAGTTACCAATCACAAAATAAGCTATACTTATAAGCAACTACATACGACCTTCACAAACACATAAAATTAGCATCATCTTCCCCTCAAACCGCCAAGCTTGCCAATCCCTACTTGAACTTCTCCAGCATCCCCAGGACCAGCTCCAAGACGAGAAGCAGCATTTCTTTTCAGCAGCTTTAGGAAGAAGGAAAAACCACTGATAAACTTTACTTAGCTAAATTGATTTTCTTTACAGAATTTTTTCCTTATAGAATTTGCTTGTCTATTTTGCCTTGGGAAAATATGATATATTAATTACTAGTAAACATTATTTGGAAATAAAAAGAAAATAAAATCTTTAAACAAATTTGTACTTTTCCTACAAAAACTGCAGGCTTTTTCATTCGATATTCATGCATGAATTTTTATTCAAAATGTATGCTGAATTCTATTTAAATCCTAGTAGTTGAGGCTTATGGTTTCGGTATCTATTTAAGAACCTACCTTTTTAAGCAGATCTCTGGCTTCTTGTGTGAGGTAGGGAGGCAAATTGAGTTTACATTTGAGGATTTTGTCAATCGTTTTCTTTCTATTCTCCCCAGTGAACGGGGGCTAAAAGTGGAAGAGAGTGAAAAAACTTAGCATATAAAAAATCAAATTTTACATATCAGAATTATCCATTTCCTGAATTAGTGATGCAGAGAGATCAGAAGTGTACGCTGTGATATGGTGACTGCAAAAAAACCTGCAGTTTTGACACAACGAGACAGAGGAAACAGTAATGTGCTGGAAGGACTGAGTTTCCACCATTAACTTCGTGTGATAATCAGTGACCTATGTGATTTTATGCTTCATTTTCTCCATTTATAAAATAAGGGCAGTGTCTATTTTACACCTATTTCAAGGGACTGCCATGACATAGATAATTTAAATAAAGGTGTTTTTAAAAGTATAGGGGCCCATACTACTTACTAAAAAAGCATTTGTAGTGCTACATTTTAAAAAATAACTCCATTGGTAATATTTTCAAGAAGCAACTTGCTACAAGGACTTAGCAACTACTCAGCACAGACGATACGTAATACATGTAGCTTTTAACTGTGCACCTACTGCTCCAGTCAGCATGTCATACATTAATGCTCCCAAACTCCACCAATCCACGGCACGATTGTGGCCACTCCGCATCAAGATTTCAGGGGCCCTACAATGAGAAAAACAATATGCCTAAAAAATTCACTGATATGTGTATCATCTGAGTAAGAATTTTAAAAACAAAATATGAAGCCAAATAATGCTACATAAAATTCAGCACACTATTACTTAAATCAGGTAAAAGATAGCTACTGCCCCCAAACCAGTTATATTTCTTTCAACATGCAGCTCACATGTATTCTATTGTTCCACAAAATGTGTGTGTGACTGTTCCATCATGAATAGATTCTTTGCATAGTCCAAAGTCTGTTAGTTTCACATGACCTACAATGAAAGATTATGACATGGTTATTCTGAGAATTCTCAGTATATGCAGTGTTTGAACATATCATACAAGATAATAATCTATCCTCCCGTTAACTCTTTTCTGCTTTACTTTTTTTTTTTGAAGATGTCAAAAACTAGCAAGGCGCCAACCATAAAATGGGATGTTAACTCTTTAAGGCTAGGGGAGAGTCATCATTTGCCAATGATATTATCTAGAAAAGGGAAAATAAAGATAAAAGAGTGAAACAGTTTGACCAAGGCTCCAGCTTTTCCTATACCTAGAATCCTCTACCATCCTGAGAAAGTAATTCCTGGGAAAACTCAATGAAGTCTGGTTTAAACACACAGACCCTAATAAAGATATTCTGTACTTTTTAAATAAAGGTGTGACACCATACTTCAAACATATAGTTTTTATCACAGTGAACTGTGACTTGACAGTTCTTAAAATGGTCTCAGAAAGTCACAATGACAAAGTTAACTCATTCTACCAATACGCTACCAGTTCATAAAAAGAAATGAAATTACTACATGGCATGGGACCATCATCTCAGATTCAGAAAGTGATAAACTTACCACCTTACACAAAGAACATTTCAGTTCAAGTTCAGCTTTACTCAACTGTCATTAGATATCCAGTGGTTCAACAACCCCAAGGATCCTACTATTCCAGGCTTATTTCAGAAAACAGGAAAGGCAATGGCCTATTGATTCAAGTGAAATATGTACTTCATTCTGACACAGAAGAAATACGACCTCTATTTTCACAGAACAACTTGACACACCCAAGCTTATGAACGGAAGAAGTTAACTAGTCACTTCCCTATTCTACCTTTTGCCTTATAATTCTGAATCAGTATCCATGTTTGGGGAATGGGTGCAGAACTGGGAGGGAGGGAACCCTCCCAGGAAGAACCCTCCCAGTTCTTCCCATGATGTACTTGGTTAAATATAGTATTTCTTCTTTAAAAAAAAAATTAAAGGAAAAGGGAGAGAATAAAGCAGTTTGAAACATTTATACATATAGGCATTGTTGTCCATATACCACATTCTGCCTAAGAATTTAAAACTGTTAACTACCTTGTACATCACTTTGTAGACATCTAAGGATCAGCAGCTGCTACCAGCCCCCCAGATGCCCTGGTTTAGCTGGTTGCTCCTTTGAAGCATGAGAGAACTGCCAAGTCTACCCAGCCCAGATTACTCTCACATAAACTGAACTGTCTATAACAGGGTGTAATTAAAATTAAAGCCCACTGTGCTGGACCTATAGCTGTTGAGAATATTAATATCTGATCTTTATGTTTGTTGTCACAAACATACAGCAAGAATAAATTCATGGCCACTAAATATTTTATTTCCAAAGCCACACCAATTATTTTGGTTCAGTTCTATGCCTGTCCTTTCTTATAACATTAATAAAAATGATCACAAAAAGTATTGCTTCTAATAATTATATATTTTAATCATTAAAGAAAACCCAATATGTAAAATTAAGATCCACTTTCCAATTTAAGGAATAAACCAAAATTTGTGTTTGGACTGGCTTTGGCTTACCACAGTTTATATAGGAATTTCTAAAAAGTGATAAGCTATAAAGAGTAAGAATTAAATTTAAAAAGGTAGTTGAGTGGCCAGTTATCCTCAACTCCCTTTAATCATAAATAAATACCATAAATCAAACATAAATATCTCAATATTTAAATCTCAGCAACTATCATGATGCCATAAATTCTGATGGAGAAATGTATATAATAATAGACACATGAATATGGGACTTTGAAAATGACCATGACCTGTGGGGGGGGGATTTTGAGATGATTAGTTATTATAGAATTGTTTACAGTATATCTCCACCTTGGTGATTAAGCATGATATTCTCCGGCTTCAGGTCTCTGTAGATGATCCCCTTTTGATGTAAATGCCCCAAAGCCATGGAGATTTCTGCCAAGTAAAAGCTGGAAACAAAAGTGATTTAATAAAATTAAAAAGAGTAATCTACTCAAAGCAGTTTATGTATGGAGCAAAATACCTTGGAAGAAATAGACATGCACCAAAGACCAAATTAGTGGCGGGGGTAATATTGAAGGAAGAGATGGCATAGGATGCTGCCAAAAGGCATGGAGACATGTTTCACTCATTTAGTGAAACTATAAATGTTTTATTTCATCATCCGAACATATTGCTAAAATTGCAAAGAAGTCCAGAATATGCTGAACTGTTACTGGTCATGTTTTGTTCTGTCTGTGTAGGAACTAGGTCAATAGTCATTCAGATCAAAGCAAATTTTTCCCACCCACCCCCAATTATAAAATCCCATAGGAAATAAGATTTTTTTTCTCGGTAAGCAAATCTTAGTTTCAGAGAATATTCATAATCTGACCCTTAGACGCCCACTCATCCCTTACTTAATACAGCTGCATATTTATACACAGTACATGCCCACAGTGTCTGCCCTCCCTCTTGCCAGACAGCCCACAACTATAAACTGTGTGACACTCAAATTTATCTACCTCAAAAGAATAAAGGGCTGAGCCAACCCTGTCTGGATTCGAAAAGCACAAGGCACTGCAATACTGGCTGCATAACAATGGTGCAATCCTGCAGATTACTCCAGGATGGAGAGGGTGTGTCCTAGAGGACTGAGGCAGTTTCACAGCCAGCACGACCACAAACAGCCTCCAACATGGCTCAGAGAGCCTCCTCCAAAAAAGGGCACTTCATCCCTAAGGCTCTTAAATGCAGCTTCTGTGTTAGAAAAGGCCTGAAATTAAACAATGGAATGCAGTTTGGTAATTAAGGTAGAAAAAACATTTAAGTGTTTTCTATTCAATTAATGTGTAGGATAAACTGATTTATTGTTACCCAATACTGTCATCTCACAAAAGGATGTGTATATTTTTAATCTGAAGCAGGTGCCATCTTAAGAAATAGGATGGTAGATCCCATCCTAGCCATAGAATCAATCCACAGATGATAATGTGCAGGCTTATCGCCTCCCTAAGACTGCACCTTGGGAACTGGAAAGTCTAAAAAAATGAGATGATTGCTGATACTTTCCACTGTTCCACATATAAAGTTTCACTGGAAAATCACACTCACCCACAACCAAGGCAGGCAGCTCACCAATTCAAGGAAAGAAAGCCCCAGTGAGAATGGTTCTGTTAGGAACTGGCGTGAAGAGCGTTCCACCCAAGGCCTGGAGGCAAAGGAATGATGTGACCTCCTATAGCTGCCCAGCTGCAAAGCTGCTTCTCCCCCTTTAAGTCCTGAGTGACTGGCTCCAGAACAATTTATTGAATCATTTGGCTGCCCACAGTGGGAATAAGGCTTTGCTTGTAATTATATAAATCATTACCTGAATCCATGCAACCACAAAAATTTCACTTACCAGGCTGTGTCTTCCATAAATATTCCCTCTCTTTCTAACTGCATAAATAATTCTCCTCCTGTAAATAAACAGAAAAGACATTAGAAAATAAAACAATCTTTATTTCCAATTCATTTCTAATGACAGGGTTTGTGCTTTCTTTTTAACCATAATTAAAAGACAGCAGCTCCTTAAAAACACAGATCCTAAAAATTATAGGTTTAAAACAGAGTCCTCAGGATTCTGTTTTTAGCAGTGTTCCCGCTCTTATGTGAAATATGTAAATTTTGGAATTCTAGGTTTTACATCTATAAACTTAAAAATATTTATAGATTCTAGACCCAAGTTAAAAAAGAAATTTTGATTAAAGCTTCTCTAACACTTCACCCATAAGTAGAAAAATATTAGTATATAATTTAAACCACCCTTGCAAATTAGCAAATGCCCAACCTCGTAACTCTTAGACTACAATAAGCTGGCAGCAGCCTCATAAAAAGCACGACACAACTTGATTATCAAAGTCAGTGATAACCAAGGGTTACATCCCACTGAATAATCTTAGAATCCATAAGTCCACAGTATATAAATCAATGAATAGGCACACAAATCTTAGATAAATATATTTTTTTAAATGGGAGAGATGGGAAAGCTCTTCATTACAACTCAATGCCAAATAATAAATGAAGGAGGCATGATGGAATAAGAAAAATCACTTGACAACTATTACAGTTAATTGTTTTAGGCAAGAATCAATGGATGCTAAAACCATATGTGAAAAGCTCGATGACAAATGAGATATTTAAGAAATCTCAAAATACCTCCTCATGCTACTTGTTAATTACAAAGGGGAAACCTCACCAGGGTAAAAACGGGCAGGCAGGCCCTTCTACAAAGATATATGTATCGGGTCCCTCCTGATGTAATACACGAAGAAGGAAAGGTCACTTGGATGGTCCTCCCAAAAATGTATAACTGAAACTAATCCTGAGGAAACATCAGGTAAGTACAAATTGATGCATTCTACAAACCAACTTGCCTGTATTCATCGAAAATGTCACGAGAGACAAAGAAAGACTAAGGAACTGTTCCAGATTAAGGAAAACTAAGGAGATTGCTGTATCAATGTTAATTTCCTATTTTTAATAATTTTAGTATATTTATGGAAGATACTATCATTGACTTTAGAAAATATACACTAAAGTATCTAGGGGTAAAGAGAAATCATGTCGACAACACTCTCTTATTAAATAGTTCACAAAAAATTACGTATATATGTGTCCATGAGTGTATATACACATATATACACACATACATATATACGTATACAGAGAGAAAAAGAAAGACAAGGGTGAAACAAAACAATTGTGGTAAATGATAACACTTAGGGAACCTAGGTGTAGGGTATTTGGGAATTGTCTGTACTGTTCTTGCAACTTTTTGTGGAAATCTGAAATTATGTCAAAATTGTTGTAAGAAAAAATGGCAAATATCACAAAAAAATTACTAAATTCTTCAGCTTTCTGTTCGGTGTTTCACGCTATCAGGAAATCTCTGTTTTTCAGAAAACTCAAGTGTGTTTGCTAGGACCTAGAAATGACAGGAGCACTAGTTCCCAGGAGGTGGTAAACCCTGGAGAATGTGGACGATCTCTATTGTAAACTGCTTAATCTATCAATAAGGTTCCATTAAATCAAAATACTTCTGTTCCAAGATGCATTTCAAAAAATACTCAGTATCTTAAGCAACACTGTCAGTGAGTTTTTCACTTCAGTTTAGAAAGAAATAGTTTAATGGTTTATTTGAATTATAGTATCTTACCCAAGTGCAGTCAATTTGATGGCTCTATCAAGTAGGTGTCTGTTATTTTATTAAAAAACTGATTACAAAGGAAATAAGATAAAATTTTACAGATGAGAGAAAAAAACCTTAACTTTTAAAGTTTCCTTCATATTTGTCTGCAAAAAGAAACATCTGGTCACATCTGAATTCCTTATGTCAATGTAGTCGTCAATTTTAAGAACTATTTGATCACATTGGGAAAAAGCACTTTTCCATTGGAAACTAATGTTTTGACCCGGTTTCTGGAGCAATGAAAATAATTACACCAAACTGTGTGTACTGACCGCTGAGATACTCAAGGATGAGGTAGAGTTTTCCACCAGTCTGAAAGGCATAAATTAAATCCACAATGAAGGGATGCTTTACTTCCTCCAGAATATTCCGTTCTGCTTTTGTATGAGCTGTATCTTTAGCATTTCTTACTATCATTGCCTAAAGGAAAAGAGATGATCTATAAGAACAAAATAGTAGACATTTGATTCTACAGTAACTAGAAAATCTAATTTGTGCTTTTCTTGCCAATATTAAGTGATTAATCAGAGTTACTGCTAAAAATGAGATAGGAATCAATGGAAAGCACTTAAATCTTATATATATCTGCACAGTTTGGATTTTTTGCAGTGAGCATGTACAATGAATGAAAACCTAAAGATACTTTTTAAAAAATGTAAACAGATTAAGTTTACTCATATATCCATTAATTGTTGAATGTCTACTATGCTCTGGGCTCTGTAACACGAAAGCAGAACTAACAGGAGTCTGTAGCCCATAGGAGCCTCCAGTCTCAGGGAACAGATATAAGTTAATGGAGGAAGGCATAAGTGCTATGGGTGAACAGGGTAACTACATCTGACCTAGTAAGAGGTCTTCCTTGGGGTAGTGGTACCTAAACTATACCATGAAAAGTTACTAAGACAAAATGTGGAGGACATAAAAGCATTCCCAGCGCAAGAGGCTTGACAGGACAAGACATGTCTAGTGACTCTATAAGTAGTTCAGTATGGTTAAAAGTGGTTAGATTGGGCAGAAGATGTGGTGGAAGCCAGGAAACAGAAGGTCAAGCATCTAAGCAAAGGCGTTTGAATTTTATCTTACAGGCAGAGGAGCAATGCTGAGGTAAGGGAAATGAGTAACTAGGCTTTCAGAAAGGCAGCTCTAGTAACATGGAATTCTAGGGAAAAAAATGTAATGAGACCAGTTAGCAGGCTAGGACAGTGAACTAAGCAAGAAGTCAGACCTGGAACTAAGAAAATGAAGGCTGAAAAAAATAGAAAGGATAAAGGCACATCATTAGCATTTGCTGACTAACTGGATGTGAGTAGAAATGATGATATCATGGTTCCTGTTTAAGTAATAGCATAGACAATGGTGTCATTTAATAACAGGTAATAGATGTGAAGAAAAAAGTTTTGGGAAAAATAATGATGCATTGTTTTGGACATGATATGTCTAAGTTCTTAGACTAATTTCTGGTGTACCTTCAGCAACATGAAAAAGCATAAACACAAGATTATTAGTTGCAATATTATCTGTAAAAGTGAAACATCAGAAACTTCCTAAATGCTCATGCATAAATATTGGCTGAAAACCTATGCACTAGCGACACAACGTGTAAAAAAAGCAATACGAAGAATGAGAAACATCCCTACGAAAGCAAGGTGCAAAAGAGCATATATGGTGTGATGGTATATACAGTAGGGTACCTTTTTGTATAAGAAAGGGGAACTAAGAATATGTATATATGTTTCTGCTTATATCTGCAATTACAAAATACAACTAAGATAAACCAAAGCTAATGACAATAGAAAGGTAGAAAAGAGAATGAGATATACCCTCTGAGTAACACCTCAATGGTTTTCTCATTCTTTTTTTTTCTCACCTAAATCAAATAATGCTATGATTATAAAATGGAGATTTTTGAATTCTGGACCATGTTAATGTTTTATACATTCCAAAAATAAAGTTAAATCAATATGGATGGCAGAGGGAAAAAAACTGAACACAACAGAAATACATATATTTTACATATTTTTATTGATTGATTTTAGAGAGAAAGAAGGGAGAGAAAAAAAACATTGATTTGTTTCACTTATTTATGCATTCATTAGTTGATTCTTGTATGTGCCGTAGCCCAGGATCAAACCTGCAACCTTGGTGTGTTGGGACAATGCGCTAACCAACTGAGCTGTATGGCCAGGGCTCAAAAATATGTATATTTAGTTGAATGTTACAGTGAAGTTTACCACAGTAGACTAAAGATATTTAAATAAATTTACACTATACACTCAGTGACATATATGTAAGCAGAGCATCACAAAAATTGCAAAGAATCTTTTTTTTCAAGTACAGTTTATATTCCTTATTATTTTTGTATTAGTTTCAGGTGTACAGCATAGTGGTTAGACAATCATACACTTTACAAAGGGTACCCCCTGATATTCTTGTACCCATCTGGCACCATGCAGTTATTACAATATTATTTACTGTATTTCCTATGTTATACTTAAGAAACTTTAAACCACACTTAGTGGGTTTGTAGCTGCCAGTAGTATTGGTATTCTCAAACTATTATGCATATATTGTACAACTGAGCAAATGAGTAAATTTACTGACATTATCAGGCATCTTACTATATAAAACAAATGTAAATATGGACTAAGGAAAGAAGAACCTTATGAAATGGGACTGGAATTAGGGATATCAAAATGAAGCCATGATTTTAAACAAAGACAACCAATGTCACACCAATAAATTTAATATAAAAATAAATAAGCAAATAAATAAATAAACCCTGAACTGTAAAAACAAACATAATGGCTAGAAAGATTTTACTGACACAATGGGAAAGTCTGAGTATGGACAATGTACTTGAAAATTTGAGAATACTGTATTGTGTATCAATGTTAAATTTCCCAAGTGTAACAATTATACTGTGGTTACATATGAAAATGCCCTCAGCACTGGCCAGTGTGACTCCATTGGTTGGAATGTCGTCCTACATACAGAAAGGTCGTGGGTTCAATTCCCTGTCAGGGCACATGCCTGAGTTGCAGGTTCAGCCACCAGTCAGGGCCAGTGCGGTACCCAGTCAGAGAATGTGGGAGAGGTAACTGATCGATGTTTCTCTCACACTGAGGTTTCTCTTCCTCTCTATCTCCCTCCCTCCTGCTCTATAAAACCAATCATTAAGCATGTTCTCAGGTGAGGATATTAAAAAATTAGAAGAAAAGAAAATGCCCTTATTTTTGAGAGATACATACAAAAATACATACATAAATTTTTTAAAAGTTAAGGATGAAGTGCTACTACATCTACAATAAAAAAAATAAAATAAAATAATTTAGGCCCTGGCTGGCTTGCTCAGTTGGTTACAGTATCATCATCCTGATATGCCAAGGATATGATTAGATACCTGGTCAGGGCACATACAAGAAACAACCACTGACTGCATAAACAAGTGGAACAACAAATCAATCAATCTCTCTCTCTCTCTCTCTAAAATCAATTAAAAATCTTGAGGAAATGACAAGAGGGAGGGGTAGACAAAGAAAACATGGCAAACTTAACGGTGATCGCCACACTAGTCTTGCAACTCTTTGGAAAGCTTTAAAAATTTCACAGACATATTGCTTTTTAACAGTTAGGAGGTTTGAATTTTTAAAATAAGTAATTCTGAGAAAATCTGAGAGGTAAACGATTAATAGGTAAGATAAAAAATTAGTAAAGTAGAATCAAAGAAGTCAAGGAAGCAGTGTTTCAAAATGCTGCAAATAGTTTCAATGCAAGAGAGAGGTAAGTTAAGAATGAATTATGTAGAAGAAAATAAAGTTAATTGAACAAAAAAAATGAATGAATTATGTAAAGATCGTTGGATTCAGCAATTAGTAGATTGGTGGTGGCCTAGGGGACAGTAGTTTCATTGCAATAGAAATCATTAAGTCAAACTATAGTGAGGGGAAAAAAGAATAAAACATGACTTCTCAAGAAATTCATTTGTGAAAGACAAAGAAGGAGAAAGTCACAGGGAGATCTTGATGAAGGAAGGATTTGTTTGGCTAATTATGGCAAAGACATGAATATACATAAATAAGAGAGAGAAGTGGCAGAGAAAAGCCCCTGAAGAAGCAGAAAGGGATGGGATCCAAAACATAAGGAAAGGGTTTAGCTTCAGAAAGGAGGAACATATCTCCCAGTAAGACTGCATAGAAAGAAGTAGAAATGGATGAAAATGCAGATTAATGCGGTACTGAGGGTAGACTTCAACGCAGAAAGTCAAAGGGAGTCACATCTGACAGCCCCAAGCAGAAAGAGAAGCAGTCTGCTATAAGAAATAGAGGGAGGGATAGTGAAGGCTCTCACAGTTGTAGAGAACAGAAGGAGTTGTCTGGGGATATGCAGAAAAATGCTTGGTGAGTACTGAGGGTCCAAGTGCATTGGGGACTATGCATTTGACTCAGCAGCAATCTTCAAGTTTGTCTGACTTCTGCTGGTAATGCTCAGTAGCTGAGATACAAGAATAAAGAAGCACTGACAACTAAATTGATTAAGATTAGGACTTTCCTGAATATAAGGTCAACAGAGCTAGCAAATGACTAAAGTGGTAGATCATGTTGATTAGGCTAGATTCAGAATAAAGTGAATTATCCAATGTCACCCCCAATAAATTCAATAAAAATTAAAAATTTTTTAAATAGCTTATACATTAAAAAAGGAAAAGCATACAATGAAATAAGAAAGAGGAGGGCTTACAGCCAAAGACCAGGCATTATGAGAATAAAGAAGTAAAAGAGTTGTTTTTCTATTTTAGCTCAATATTTCAGAGGTACAGAATACAACCATGGGGGCTGGTGAAGTGGAATGGAGGTGAAAACTAACAGGATTGAGATCATTAAAGAATTAAAACGCTAGGCTATTGATTACTTATTTAATATAAGGACAGCGAAGATACTCAGGATGATAAGACCTGGGAGTGTGGGAAAAAGACTTATAAAAGGTGAGAGAGTCCTATATGCTTAAACCTCAAAGCACTGTGGGATCTTGACCACAGGACAGAAGAGTAATTTTAGAATAAGGTTGGCCCTTGTCCATAGCTCAGTTGCTTAGAGAGCCGTCCTGATAAGCCAAGGTTGCAGGTTCAATCTCTGGTCAGGGCACATACAAGAAGCAACCAATGAATGCATAAATAAGTGGAACAACTAATCAATGTTTCTCTCTCCTTTCCTCTCTCTCTAAAATCAATTTTTAAAAAAAACTGTTTTAAAGAATAAACTAATCAGTACTTCCCTTGAATTACACAGTAAGCGGAGTAAGAGGCAGAGACTGTATTTGTTTCAAAGGCTAAATTTTAGTATCTAGCTTAATGCCTGGCACACTGCAGGTTCTCAACTGGTTTAATAAAAGAAAGAATGGAAGAAGTAGGACCTCTCTGTGAGCCACTAGCCTTTGGTCAAAGGTTCTAAAATTTACAGTGTAGGCCAAACTAATGCCATAGGCAAAAACAGTTTGCTTTCAGAATGTTTTTTGTTTTTTTTTTGGCAACAGTAGGGTAGAGGAATAGTTGTTAGAAACAGTCTTTTCCTCAATACTCCACCATGAGCAAACACCCAAATGGGACCACACCTATAAGGGCAGACTGTCCAGATACAAACAACTCATTTAAGAAAAGGGGACCACTGGTTCTACTCTATTTTTCAAGGCTTTTAGAAAGCAGTGTATTGTCACCACATACTCAGGTTATAGGGTTAGTACTCTCCACTTCCAGGACAAAAAATCAGAAAAAATAAACTCGAAGGAGGTACAGGGTTATCTAACCTAGGGATTTAGGAATTAAAACTCTGGGCTTAACCCCAGCAACTCTTCACTTTCATTACTTTTCCAGTGAGCCTTTTCAGGGACATCAAAAGAAGAATGGACTGTATGTAGTTCTCTAGCCAGGCTTAAGGAAAGAAAAATCCTGAAAGTGGGAAGGAGTAATAGCTAAGTAAAAGGAGAGACAAGTAAGTTAGGTCTTAGAGGCCTGGGCCCAAAAAATGAGGCCTGACATTGAGCAGTAATTAAGTCTATGGATTTCCTAATAAACCACACCCACCCATCTACGGCGGAAAAAAACAACACCCTCTTCTTTTCATTACAGATACCTGTGTCAGAAACATATCTCATTCAAAATATAATTACTGAATATGACAAATTATGGTCAGCCCTGATTATCAGGCATGAATAAGCAACATATCAAAAGGAACAGATTACTCTAGGAATACTGACCAGTACTTCTTTTAATATTTCTAGAATAAGCATTATTATACAGTCTCCAATTCTACACCTGATATGGTTTACAGATTTTTAAAAAATCATTAATCTCAAATGATTCCAATGGGAAAACAAGATAACAGATTACTCCTGACCTGCTAATGCAGAAGTTGATGTTCAGGACACCTAAACTGCTTCTTTAAAACAATCACCAATAATGTGTGGCTACAGTATGTTCCACAGACTTTAAAGTAAGAAGCTATTTACACTGCTTAAGTGAAAATAAAGAAGCTAAAAACCAACGTATTAAATACCCTACAAATTTTTTAAAAAGTCATTTTTATGACCTTTTAATATTTTTCTACTAATACTTGTTTTAAGATAGTGATCTCTTCTGAAATTAAGACCAAACACACATAATCCATCTTCAGTAAAACAAGGAAACATGGGTAGTTTCGTATCTCAAAAAAGTGAAGACAGAAGGGGGCCAAAGCAATAGGAGATGACTTAGTAGAGTGGGGTATGATCACACCTAAATGCATGACAAGAATAATAACTGAAAAGAAATTGATTCCATCTAGAGAATCCTAGCAGGGTTCAAAAACTAGAGGCAAAAATAAAAAGAAAGGGGAAAAATTAAGAGTCACCAGGGACTGTAGCGAGCAGAAGGTGGAGAACTAAAAACAGGAGATTTCTTTGGAGATTATCTGGAAGTCTGTATAAGGAATAGATACACCAAAAAAGATTCCCATCCCCACACTAACTAGCCAGGGAACTACCATCTGAAGGTGTATTTTTAGAAAAAAAGAGAGTGAAAGACCAATATAAAGTGAATTACTGAAGCATCAATAAAAATGACTTCAGTGTGAGTCTGCATGTGGAAAGGTGAGACCTCCATCTCCTCTATCTCGTCTAGCACCAGAACACTTTTCTAGGCAAAAGAATACAAGACCTTCCTCAGCATCAATTAATCCATACCAGAAAAAAGACCTAAAGATATTGATACTTGAGGCTCTCAATCGATTTCTGGGTAGCTACATGAGTGCCCTACAAAGAAGCCTACATACAAAGAACTTTTGATCAGCTTTTCAGAATTCCACAATTAAATATGATCAGTGAAGGACACCAGACATCTGAAGAAGGCCTTTGACATGAAAGAGAACGGTTAAATCAAAGTCAAACAAAACAAGAACTTAGAAAAGTGACACAGCCCTGGCTGGTGTGGCTCAGTAGACTGAGTGATGGCCTGCCAACCACAGGATAGCCCATTTGAGTCCCGGTCAGGGCACGTGCCTGGACTGTAGCCAGGTCCTCAGCTGGGGGCGTGCAAGAGGCAACCAGTCCATTTTCTCTCCCTCTCTTTCTCCCTCCCTCCCCTCTCTCTAAAAATAAATAAATAAAATGGACTTTTATTTAAAGAAGTGACACAATAAATTTCTATGCGCTGGCTGGGTAGCTCAATTAGTTAAAGCATTGTCCCAATATGCCAAAATTGAGGGTTCAATACCCCATCAGGGCACATACAAGAATCAACCAATGAATGTATAAGGAACAACAAATCGATGATTTTTTCCCCTTTCTCCCTTCCTCTCTGTCTCTAAAAGCCAAATCAATCAATCAATTTCTAGAAAAGTCTCAGCACATACAGAGACAAGAACTAAACAAATGGAAGAGACATGAAAATCAGATGATCAGTCTGGGAGATTCAACATCCAACTAACTTCAATTTCAAGACAGGAAAACAGTAGAGCGGTAAGTTATCAAACAGATCATAATACAATTTCCTAGAGCTGAAGAACTAAAACTTTTAAGATTGAAAAAGTAAAAATGAACAAAATAAAAATCAAAGCAAAACATATCACTGTAAAAATTTAGAACATCAGGAATAAAAAAGAAAATTTTAAATATCTTCCAAGAAAAATAGATCTATAAAAGACTGGGAGTCAGAATGGTAAGGAACTTCTCAACAGAAATATTCAAAACTAGACAAAAATAGAGCAAAGTCCTGAGTGAAAATTACTTTCAACTTAAAAACTGCACCCAATTAAATAAGGATGAAGGCATAAGGAAATTTTCAAATATGTAATATTTCCCCCCCAAATTTACCTTCATGCACCCTTTCTCAGGAAGCCACTGGTAGGTGATCACCAAAACAAGGAAACAAGAGCATTAACTATGAAAAAGGAAGATATGGGACCCAGGAAAGAAAGAACCCAACGCTGAAGGAGTGAAGAGAATTCTAAGGACTGTGGTAAAGGGAAAGTCCAATATGCCTAGAGAGCTATCAGCACGGACAGTTCCTATGGAACATCTCTGTGAAAGTAAATGGAACTGTCAGATTATCTAGTAATGAGAACGGCCACAGAACACTGGCCTGAAAGGTGTCTTACGGAGTTGTTGGAAAGTATGGGATGACAATCATAGTAATTCAATAAAAGTGAAGCAAAATGAGAGGACAGGGTAAAGAGAGGAAGGTGTAAAGAGAGTCAAATAAAAGTCAATATATAATTCTAAAACTGCTGAGTGAAGTGACAGCAGAATATGCTTATTACTTAGGAATATGGAGACCACAACAAAGAGTTAAAAGAGTTTCCTCAGAGAAGAACTGAAAAAGCTCCGCTTTGTACCCTCCCCAAGCAGAAAGAAAATAGGAATAGTAACAATGAAACACATCTCACATTCTAAGACGACTTATAATTGTATTAAAAATATTTTTTGACTGAGAATTTTAGGCCAAAATGTGGATTTTATAGCAATTAATAATATAGTTTGAGGGAAAAAGAGGAGGGAAGGAATCACCTTTTTAAGCACCTTCATGGCAAATATTTTCCCAGTATTTGCTCCTGTTACTTTTCGTACTTGGAAAACCTGTATAAAAATAAAAGTGTTTGCGTTATTAAAGTCTAAACTATGCTAGTCACATTCCTTTAATTCCTATCGATAAGAAACAAATGATACAGTAGTTTACATCCTCATAAAAACTAGTGCCAAGAAGGGCTGTGTGCAAAAATGAGGGGCTAGAAGAGCAGACTATATTAAAGAGTTAGCAGTGAAATCTGTCGCACAACACAGGACTTTCCTGTTTGGTCTGCTGGCATTTGGTGGCAAAGTTGGGTAATGACCATGTAGTGATGAGCACTGCATGTTTACACATAAAACACAAATTTGCTTAGAAAAGCTATAATCAGGGTTCCCAGAAGCATAATACCAAACCTAAAAATTATAAAATATTTCACAAATTTCTTCTGAGGATGCCATTGCTCTCCCATCACATAAAACTAACAATAATTGACACAAATTATTATCATTTAAAACAAATAATCCTTAAAATAGCTAGCTATAACATTTTCATGCAACAGCCAACATATGTGAGACTCAAAGTGCATGTGTTATATATCCGACATGGTTAGAATATATTAAATGTGTCGTTAAGCCTAAGAATATACCACAAATGTCATGCTTGGTGAAAATTAACACTACACAATACATAAACAGTTACCCAACTTTGATAGAAAATGGCTAGGTATAAACTGTCTCAGGCAGAACACTCAAAGGTCTTAAATTAGAAAGCCTTGGGAAAAACTATGAAATTGAGAAGTTCCATTCATTTTTTCTTCTTCCCTCTTATATTCATTAACTTCCCTAACTGTTGCTCCAGATACTTTTAAGTCAAAGAAAAACACTTCATATTAATAGACAACAGTGACATATTAATGTACCAGGCCTCTTGAAAGTAAGGAGTGATTTGTTTGTTTTTTTAAGAGGATACCTATAGATGGTATTAAAACCAAGGGAAGAAATGAATCCTCTAATAACAGATGTTACCTGGAAGAGTTGCTATTTATTGCAAATAATGTAATAATTTATAATGAATAATATAACATTTATAACAAATATTGACTAAGTGCCAATTATGTGCCAGCCTTTTATGTATACGGTGGTAGAAAGAGGAAACTGCTGTACATTCCTCAAATAATACAAGGTAAAAGTGATTCTATCCTTTGCTGATAGCTAGCAAACCCAGACTGAAGAGGACTACTGAAACCAGGGTGCAAAATAGCAATCTACCAGACACAGACAACAGCTATCATTTCAAAAATACTTCCTACCTTTCCATAGCCCCCTTTACCAAGTACCCGAAGTAGCTCAAAACATTCTGGTCTGATTTTTTCTGGCCCTCTGTTCACACTAGTTTCTGAGATTTCAAATTTCTCACAATGTTCCATGCCACTGGAGAGAAAAGCAAAATGAGAAGTAAATTTGCAAAAAAGTTAAATTATTTTCAGCATATTGTTAGAAAGAGAAATGTAATCTAATTTAGTTAAAGGAAAAAAGTATGTGATAGCAAATTTAATATCTGTGTTCTAAGTAAACATAATGATTCCATGATATGGTAGGTCAAGATTAGGGTAGCTTGACAAACTTCCTACTTATCTGTTTGTTTACATAATGTGCTGGCCAGTATTTATTTTCATAAGCATCAAGTACTCCCAAGCTAAGATAAACTAGAAAAAGTTGACAAACGAAAAAAAAAAAACTTCTAGTTATTCAAATTTAGTTCATTCAAAATGTCTATAAGATCGGGTATTATCCAACCTCAGCAGAAAACCTGGGAGCATTCTAAAAGTACTCAATTAGTTCACATCTTTATGCTAGATAAATTTCTGCAAATAAAAATATATCCGCACACCTTTCCATATGGGCTATGAGTGTGATTTAAAGACTCCGAAAGGGTGGCAGTTTCGTTGGTCACTTAAATGCTTTCTATATGAGTGATCTCAGCTTCCTCTCAACCCAAGGGTTAGGGTACAGAGCAGATTAATCGCCATACTCCTCTAAGGTGCATACCTAAAAATACTTTAGACTGCACAATCTCAGTTTGAATGGTATGTTACAAGCAAAACAAGAACCATTTGACTCCTAGGGGCATTTCTAATAATTTTATTTTTCAGTAAGAAAATTGGTTCTCTACTAAACTAATGAAAATTCCTAACCCATCCAGACATATTTCATATACTCTGAATTTGAATGATCTTCTTCTCAAAATTCATACATGATCTCAAAACCCTGGGTAGCTTACTACATTGATGCCAAACTCAATAAACTAATTCTATGTATATGACTAGATATTTAAGAACAGTTCACTGGAATCACATGCTGGCTATGAACTAGAGTTGACAAACCTACTCGTAAGACAAAGAGCACAAATGAAGTATTTTCATATAAACTTACAGTTCATATGGTCCAACTCCCCCATGGTCCATGCTTTCATTTAACTGACCCTGAAAAATATGTTAAAATTTTAAAGATGAATAATCTCGTAAATATAAAATAAAAGTGTTTGGCCCTCACTGGTGTAGCTCAGTGGATTGAGAGCAGGCCTGTGAACCAAAGGATCGTGGTTCAATTCCCAGTCAGGGCACATGCCTGGGTTGCAGGCCAGTTCCCAGCAGGGGACCCACAAGAGACAACCATACATTGATATTTCTCTCCTTCTCTCTTTCCCTTCCCCTCTAAAGATAAATAAATAAAACCTTGAAAAATGTTTAATGCTCCACCCCATTACTGACGGAGGATAAATGAGATAAACCAGACTAAAAATTCTCTATACTTTCGATGGCAAATGTAGTTAGTGATGTATACAAAAAAAATACTACAGAGATTTCACTTGTAATTTTATATGATAACTAAGCTAGAGATACTACTCATCAGTGATCTACAAATAAAACCAGGTGACTTTTTCCTTAAAAAATTATATGTTATATATAATGACGTGGAAGGTACTACACTCTAAGTCTGAGTACTAAATCATCCAATGTTTTATACAAAGGGCTATTCTGATATACAAGGCTAAGATAAACCTTATATAATTATAACCTAACTAAACCTAATTTAATCACAGCCAGTCCAAGATATTGTAATGTACAATGTAGCTGATCAAAGAAAAATAATTAAGCAACATTCTCAAATTGTTAGGGGTCATGCTGGCCAAACATTTATTCCGGCCATAGTATAAGCAAATGCAAAATTTAATTAATCTCTGTACACCAGCAATGAATGATTCAAAAATAAAATTAAGATAGCTCCATTCGCAACAGCATCAATAAGAATCAAATACTTAGGAAAAAATTAACAAAAGAAGTGTAAGACTTGTACACTTGATAACTATAAAATATTACTGAAAGAAATTTAAAAAGACCTACATAAATCAAAAGACATTCCATGTTCATGGATCAGATGACTTTATTAAGGATGGCAATACTACCCAAGTTGATCTACTGATTTAACTCAATCATTGCAAATTCCCAGGTTCCTTTCTTGCAGGAATTGACAGGCTGATCCTATAATTCATACAAAAAAAGTAAGAGACCCAGAACAGCCAAAATGATCTTGAAAAAGGAGAACAAAGTTGGAAGACTGACACTTCCTGGTTGAAAAATGTACCACAAAGCCGCAGCAATCAAGACAGTGTGGTACTGTCATAGCACAGATATACAGATCAATTAAACAGAACTGAGAGCCCAGAAATAAACCTTACATTTACAGTCAACTGATTTTTGACAAAGATGCCAAGAAAATTCAATGGGGAAAGAAATTTTGCAATAATTGGTGCTATGACAACTGAATATTCACAAAAAAATTACTTGTGACTCTACCTTACACAATACACAAAAATTAACTCAAAATAAACCACAGACCTAAATGTAAGAGCTAAAACTATAAAATTCTTAGAGGAAACAGGAGGGAGTATATTTTCATGATAGTTGGGTAGACAATGATTTTTTAAGACATATAACCAATGACATGAACAATTAAGGAAGAAAATCAGTAAACTTGATTTATTCAAAATTTGAAACTCTTGTACTTTAAAACATACCATCTAGAAAAGTGAAAAGAAAATCCACAAAATAAGAATATATAAAGAATATATAAAGAACCAGATAATCCTATTTTTAAAAACTGGGTTAGGATCTGAATAGGTATTTCTCCAAAAATATACAAATGGCCAATAACCATATAAAAAGTTGTTCAATATCATTAGCTATTATAAAAATGCCAGCCAAAACTACACTATGATACAAATTCATATCCACTAGGATAGCTTTAATTAAAAAGACAGAAAAATACCAAGTGTGGCAAAAGTGTACATAAATTGGAACCCACATACACTGCTGGTGGGTATGTAAAATCATAAAACCAATCTGGAAAAACAGTTAGGTAGCCCTGCCTGGTTTGGCTCTGTGGCTTGAGTGTTGGCCTGTGAACCAAAAGGTTACTGGTTCAATTCTCAGTCAGGGCACATGTCCGAGTTGTGGGCCAGGTCCCCAGTTGCGGGTGTACAAGAGCCAACTAATTAATGGTTCTCTCACTCCCTTCCCCTCTCTCTAAAAATAAATAAAAAACATGCAGTCTTTTAAAAAATTAGAGATATTATGTATGTGATCCAGCAAATCTACCCCAAGTCATTTCTCTACTCAAGAGAAATGAAAATACATATTCTGTGAAGACTTGGGTACAAACATTCATAGCAGCATTATCACAATGGCAAAAAAAAGGAAATAACTTAAATGAACATCAATTGGTAAACTAACAAATATGACGTAGTTGATCCATACAACAAAATACCATTTGGCCATAAAAGGAATGATGTGCTGATACATGCTACTGCATAGATGACCCTCAAAAACATCATGTTCAGTGCAAAAGTTAAACACAAAAGGCCACATACTTTATGATCACATGTATGTGGAATGTACAGAAAAGGCAAATGTATAGAAATAGAAAACAGACTAGTGGGCTAAGGGTGACCATGAGGATGAACCCAAAGTTTCTTTTTAATGTTCTAAAACTAAACTAAATTGTGGTGATGGTTGTACAACTCTATCAATATACTAAAAGTCACTGAACTGTAAAAATAATAACTTGGTAGTAGAAATACATTTATATTAAAATTATAGCTTTAAGATAAGTATTCTTGAATATAGTCTGATTATGAACTCTTTCAAAATTTATACAAAAGGATATTGCTTAACTGAAAATTGACAATATGTTCAAGTGAACACATCTCTCTTTAAAGGTACCAGCACGCAGTCAAGATACACAAAGAAAACTGACGGTAGTCTTACACAACGAATGTTGAAATACCCCAAACAAGTTTTTAGACATAAGCTGTTCACAGTATGAACAAGTCAAGATAACATCTAACACAAAAGCTGTGTGTTTCATGATTAGACTGAAGCATATGGATGGGACAGTACTGAGAAAAAAATATTCTTGCAATTTCAAGTTGATTCAGTTTCTTGTGGGGGTGGAGGTTGAGGTGGTTATGGCTAAAAGGATTTTTTCTTGTTAGTTTTGTTTTTGGTGCTTCATATAATCACCTACAATGGTGTCACTTTAAAGACAAAAGACTAACTTCTCTCAGCTATAATAAAATTAATTATTATATAATTTTCCGTCTAATGTTAGTTTTACTTAATTCTAAATTAAAGACCACAGAGTAGTTAACACTGAACCATGACTTTGAAGCCACCTATAAATATATGCCCCATGGCTATGTTTCATTTCCGGAGCTGGCCAGGCCTGCGTTACCACCTGCATCTGTGTTTAGAACTTCCTACCGTTACTTTCTGGAGCAAAAGCATTTCAGGCACAATTCTTTTGTTATTTAAGTTTCTTTCAGAACAGTTTTATACCAGAAGCATAAAACATTATATAATAAATACTGACAACTCTTTTTCACAGCTTCTCTTTATTCAGATTTTCTTTTCAGCTGCTTTAAGCTTTATGACTCACTCAGTGCTTTGTATGAGTTCCACTATGACTGACCAAGAAGAATCATGCTCACCTAAGGTACTACACAGGACACACAATTTCAAACTAGCCCACCAGGCTGTGACTGGTGTGGCTCAGCGGAGTGGGCATCTTTACCCAAGCCAAAAGGTCACCAGTTTGATTCCAGGCCAAAATGTGTCTCACACCTATGGTTCTTTCCCTCTCATTCTCCCTCCCTATCCCTCTCTCTAAAAGTAAACAAAATCTTAAAAAAAAACAAAAAAAAAAAACAAGAAAATATCTAGCCTACCAGAACGACTACTTGCATAGTTTTCAATTAAAATAGCATAAAGTTCAAGTAGATATGCCTTAAGTCCCAATGAAAGCAAGCAGTTTATAAAAATTTAAATAGTTACAGAATCAGTAAAATATTTTTAATCCAGATGTTCATTAAATCATTTGTCCATCTGCTTTGCTGTTCACAGACATTTCCTTATAAAATAAGATTCAGTAATTCAGATGAATTGGGAAAAAGGAGTAAATTTTGCCCAAAATCTTAGATTATTTAAAAATGCCTTATTCTAAATACCAGAAGAAAACACAAGCAGGAAAATATCAGACATTTCTTGTAACAATATTTTTCTGATGCTTCTCTTCAGACAAGGGAAACAAAAGAAAACAAATCAATGGGACATTAAACTAAAAAGTTCTTGCACAGCAAAGGAAACCATCACACGATCATCTGAAAAGACAACCCACCGACTGGGAGAACATACTTGCCAATGACTCATCTGAGAAGGGGTTAATTTCCAAAATTTATGAAGAACTTATAAAACTCAACACCAAGGAAATAAACAGTTCAATTAAAAAAATGGGGAAAGGCCCTGGCTGGTGTAGCTCAGTGGGTTGAGCGCGGGCCTGCAAACCGGAGGACCGCAGTTCAAATCCCAGTCAGGGCACACGCCTGGGTTGCAGGCCAGTTTCCAGCAGGGGACTCACAAGAGGCAACCATACATTGCTATTTCTCTCCTTCTCTCCTTCCCTTCCCCTCTAAAGAAAAATAAATGAAATCTTAAAAAAAAAAAAAAAGATGGACAGGCCATGCTTAAGCTGGCCATATCCAAGGCTATTTAAAAAAAAATGGGGAAAGGACCTGAATAGACACTTCTCCAAAGAGGACATACAGATGGCCAATAAACATAAAAAAACATGCTCAATGTCACTAATCATCAGAGAGATGCAAACTAAAGCCACAATTATATATCGTCTCACGCCTGTCAGAATGGCTACTGTCAATAAATCAGCAAACAGCCCTGGATGGTATGGCTCAGGGGATTAAGCACTGGCCTGCAAAGTGAAAGGTTGCTGGTTCAATTCATGTCAGGGAACATGCCTGGGTTGCGGGCCAGGTCCCCAGTTGGGGACATGCAAGATGCAACCAACTGATGTTTCCCTTGCACATCAATGTTTCTCTCCCCCTCTTTCTCCCTCCTTTCCCTTCTCTCTG